CGGTTTATAACCCCTATAGCGGCAAGGTAAAGAAAAATACTCCATTGCTACTACTGTATATGTTATATAATGTCTTGATGCGCCTCAGTGACGCAATCTCAGTTGGAGCAACGTGATGCTCCTTCTGTTATAATGTTCACATTTCATTTTCACAGTTTGTATGATCATTTTGTCACCCTCTCCAAGTACTCATCCCTTAAGGAGCATTGGAATATTGTTGTGATTGATAGGTATAATACAAAATGTATTTTTTTTCCCCAATGATATGTGAAAATAGCTTACAGTGTTTCTGTTCAGTTTAGAAAAATATTGCATATTTCGAACTTGTGATATCACACAAACGCATATATGTTTGGTGAAATTAAGTTTGCATTTAATGCTATGTTTCACCAAAGCCTTTCTTTTCCATTCCAATTGTCAATTTAAGTAATCAGGAATTGGGTACCCCTTCTGTCCTGCTATAATTTTCCTCTTGTTTTTCTGTTTGGACTGTGCCTGATTGCTTTCATATTAATTTTCATTTTTTAGTGTTATTGACTCGATTACAGTATACAGTAGTACTGTTCATATTTTATCTCATGAATTTATTTTGGGGACTGGGCTTTCTCCTGTGGTCATTTGAACCCTATCTTCAAGCTAAAATGGGTGTGCTTCTCATGACTTGTCAAGTCCATCAAACTCTTGGCTTGTGGGTCCTGCTCGAGACCCTCGATATGAGGAAAACTTGGACTTGTGATTATGGCAAGTTTGGCATTTCTCCTTGATCAATACTTGCATGAATAGCTTCAAAACCATCGATTCAGACGAATAAACTGTTAGCTTCAAACATCATTCGAACCGAATAAGATCACACGTGATAATTGTTACTCGTACATATTTCGAGTTCAAATAACGTTGCAGTTTGAAAATATTAGTTCAACCCCTTAGGGGTGAACCAGTTTTCAAATTGTCATTTGATGCTAAAAATGTTCCGTTTTCTAATGCCTTTTGCTCTCATTTTGTTTGGTTGATCGCCAACTTCTCTATTTTTGGGCTGTCGTTCCCGTTATGGTGGTAGCAATCCCCTTTTCTTTTGTATTTTCAAGAAAAGAAAAAGTCATACTTGTATGATTTGTAATGGGTGTTTTTCTTTGTTCATAAGCTGGTGAAAATAGTTTATAAGTTATTTTTAACTTACTCCCTTCGTCCTATAATGTTCTTTCCGGTTCTATTTACGAAGTTTGACCGATTTTATTTTTAATTCAATTTATTTGATTGTAGGTGTAAAATTAAAAAAAAATTATATATTTAAAAAGTACATCAAAAGTTCTACAAAACAAGTGGTGACAAGACTATATTATTTTATCAAATACCTAATAAAAATAGGTAAAGAAAGTGATTAAAGTTTGACCGTGTGAAAAGTAAATGGGAAGAACATTTCAGGACGGATGGAGTATAAGTTAGGGGATGATATATTTTTGTACTTATAAGCAGCTTATAAGCCATAAAAATTAGTATTGGATGTGTTTTAACTACTTATTTTTAAGTTTATTTTTTCGTTTCTCCATTTCGACCTATTCATTTACACAATCTTTTATGGACCNGTCACTTTACAAAAAAATATTTTACAACAGTTCATAAGTTAAAAATTACTTCTCTGTAACCAATAAGCATTAGCATAGAAAACTACTCTTGTATTTTAACTTCAAGATTATCTAGAAATATCAACGGCACCACAGATGGACGGAGGTAGGGATGACAATTCAACCTGAACCCGATCTTAACCGACCCTACCGACCACTAAAATATTCAAACCTGAATCGAGAATAAAATAATCCGAACCTGACCCAATTTTTTTTACCCAAACCCAACATCGGGTCAGGTCGGGTGTGGGTTTATAACTTTACCCGACCCGACCCGACTCAAACTCAAATATTTTATAACATAAAAGTATAGAACTAATAGAAGCCTATCACTCCGTATAATTTCTTGACAAGGTGCTACTATATCAAGTATGCCTTTTATTATTATTTTTATAAGTGAAATTTGCACTAAATATGACTAAAACATAATGACTTTCCTAATGTAGGACTTAAACTTTTTTATTTCTTAAATAGGACTTAATAATGACCTAGTAGAAGGAATAATGTCCAGTAATGATGGACATTTAGTTGAATAATGACTACTTAATAATGACCACAGGTCCTACATTGGGAAATAAAAACATATGGTCCTATATTGGGAAAGTCATTATGTTTTAGTCCTATTTAAGTAAATTTCTGTTTTTATAATTCATTAATAAAAAAATGAGTCAGAAAAAGAGAAACAAAAAAATTAAATTTAATCTTTTTGAAATTATGGGGATACGTCGAATTGATTATTATAAAATTATAGATTCGGGTTCAGGTTTCGGGTTTAAATGTCAGATTCAGGTCGGGTCGGGTTTTTGGCTTAAAATGTCGGGTTTGGGTTGGGTTCGGATCTTGGTTTTAAAAGTCGGGTCAAGTTCGGGCATAGTACTATCCGACCCAACCCCGACCCGTTGTCATCCCTAGACGAAGGTAGTATTTGTTAACTGTGGAACATTGAAAAGAAGTGTTTAGAACACAATTAACAAATAAGACATTGGTAGGAAGTAGAACATTAAAAAGAAAAATAAGTTCTCACGACATTACCTTTTTTATACAACCTTTCTCTTGAGCCACAAAATATCAAATTATATCTAGTCAAAAACTTCACTAATGACATTGATAACTTGGACTTTTGATACGATATGATCTTTCTTTCTTGAATTGCTCATTTTGAACTCTATCAATCGTTTCATTCAACTTCAAACTTTTGCGCTTATCAATCCATATTCATATTTGAGAAACTTCAAATTTTTAATGTTAATGTAGCTCCCACGTATTAGGATTTGTTATTGGTCTTATATTCTTAGTTTTTTTAAAGTTAATAATATGGTTAAAAATGTTTAGTGGTTAAGACACAATAACTTTAATTAACTATTTAGTTATTTGCATTTATATTTTTACAATTTTTTTTGCATATCACGTGTACTCATATACATAAAACAAATAGGAAAGTTTGGTTTATTCGATTCAATTTTCTAAAGTGAAAAAAAAGGAAACCAAACAATAACGGTTTGGTTTGGTGTTTTACATTTAGTTTTGATTTTTCACATTTTTTTCTAACTCGTTCCGATCGATTTCAAATTGGTTTGCAATTTTCCCAACCTAGCCCTACTTGTTGCCACCTCATAGAGGTGAGAGATATTGCGAGAGAGATCAGCTGATGCTGATCGAGGGAGAACGAGAGAGACTTGAAGATCAAGAGATTTGATTAAACTCATTAAAGAAGGGAGAGAAATGTAGAGCTTTAGTCGCGGGCTTCAAAAAAAATAGTGGGAGTGCCCGGGTGGGCGTTCCAGTAATATATATATATATATATGCCCACTCTTTCCAGTAAAAATGTAAGGCATTTTTGAAAAATCAGCACCACTCTTTCCCTTTCTTAAATATGCTCCAAAGTCAAAACGGACAAAATAAAATGGGACAGAGGGAGTAACATTTTTTCATGTTTCCTTATTATTTGGCCTTTTTAAAACATTCTAAATAAATATATCATTTTTTTCCATTACCTTACAAGTCAAAGTGGACTGCCCCCCCTATATATTTTATATTTTTATACGGAGTATCTAATTTCGGATAATGACAAAGTAGAATAACCCGAACCCCTTTTGTTTTATCCTGATCCCGAATATTAAGGGAATAAGAAGGATAAGTTTGTAACTCGAATCATTTGAAAAAACGATACAAAACGTGGGACGGTATAAAACCTGAACCGTCCCAACCTGTGCTCACCCCTAATTTGTAATGTGAATGCATTTTAATTCATTGGAGAATAAAAAAATTATTCCTATAGAAGGTTTTCTATATTTAGTCTTCTACTATCAAATATTCCATAATATATTTGTGGTCTTTTTTATGTGTGCCTTTTCATAATTAGTCATTTTTTGACCTTCTGTCATGTGGGTTAAGTTGCGAGTTAAAAGTGTAATTTCACATAAACCTAATGTCTAGTTACGTATTTTAATGTCAGCTTGACAAATAACTCAATAATAACAATTATGGCTACGGAATAAGATTCCAACCAAAGACGACACCTATAGACTATAGTTGCAGTAGACAAACGATACATCAACAGCCCAGCTATGACAAGAAAGATAAATGGCCGTTGTGAAATTAGACTTTTAGTCCATAATTTAACAGCATGATAGAAAGTTAAAAAAGACTATTTATGGAAATGTATCCATAAAAGAAGACCACGGATGTAATATTTTGAAATAGAAGACTAAATATGAAAAACTCTTGTTATAAAGAATAATTTCTAAAATTTACTCTTTTTTTGGAAGTGCAAAGGTTAGGAAATAATATAATAAATAAAACCTTCAATACTTTTTATAACAAATACTGTAAGTCCTAACCAGAGCCGAGCGAATGGTGGGTCAAGGTGCCTTAGCGGCCTAGATCTATTTTTTAAAAATAATATTCATATAATTTAGTAATTTCTTAGAGGCAAGACCCATTTTTTTCGTCTCATCCAGGACCATTGTATCATCATCGAGAACCACCCTAATCCAAACTTATTACGGTGAAAGCATGTTGGCATAATTGCAACTTGCAAAAACACACCTCAAATTTCTCCATATCCGATCTTTACCCACATGCGCTTAAGAAGCCTCTCCTATAGAAATGAGAATTACGAGTGACAAAAAAAACAAACTAATTACCTTTATCACATGCACTAATTTTGATCGATAATATGAGAGAAAAAACTAATTTTAAAGGACAAAAACTGATTTTTTTATTCCCCAAACAAAATATAAATGATTACAATCTACTACTCCTTCAGTCCCTAATTTGATTACAAATTAAGGTGCTGTTTGGCAACTTCTGAATTGGTAAGTGCTGAACCAGTAAGAGATCTGAACCATTAAGTGCTGAACTAGTAAGAGGTCTGAACCATTAAAAGCTAGTATATTGCTTAACTATTCAGAGGCAAATGTCTGATCAATTCAGATAAGAGGTCTTAACCATTCAGACTCTGTATAATACTTAACCATTCAGAGGCAAATCTCTTAACCATTCAGACATCTGAACCATTAAGAGGCTGAAACAAACAGTCTGAACCATTAAGTGCTGAACCATTCAGATATTTGAACCATTAAGAGGCTGAAACAAACAACCCCTTATGAGATAAAATTTCTTGTTTTTCGAAATCATATTATTTACAAATAGATATATCAATAAATAAATAAAAATCTATTATTAAAAAAACCACGTTAAAAATTCAACAAAACGAGAAATGTAACAAGAATATTTTATTTTATCAAATACTTAATGAAAACACTCAAATAAACAAAAGTTATCGAGAGGAGAATTGTAAATCATTTCGAGACTGAAGGAGTTAGTGTTTGGGATTTGTAAAAATTTAGCGGAAACAAATCTCCCTTTTCATTAAACGTAAAGTAGTATATATACATGTACCGGGCTGGATTGTACGGGCCCAAACTATGCTAGTAACAAAAAATAACCGCTAACTCTAACACTCCCCATCAAGTTGGCGCATGAATGTCATAAATGCCCAACTTGCACAACAAAAAATCAAATACAGGTTTTGACAAAGATTTAGTAAAGATATCTGCTAACTAATAGCGAGTAGAAACATATCGTGTACAAACCTCATGTCGCTGCACAGATTCACGAACCATATGACAATCAACATCAATATGCTTCATATGTTCATGAAATACGGGATTTGCTGCTATGTATATTGCTAAGTGGTTGTCACAATACAACCACGGCGGATAAAGGATAGGGACGTCGAGGGCTTGGAGAATGCCACGCATCCAACGAATTTCCACACATGCATTCGCCATGGCTCTGTATTTAGCTTCAGCAAAAGAACGTGCAACAACTGTTTGCTTTCTGGTCTTCCAGGAAACAGGAGAATTACCCAACATAATAAAATAACCGCTAACAAACCACTGAGAGACCGGACAGCTAGCCCAGTCAGAGTCACAATAAGCAGAGATCTGGAGATTACTATTGGCGCTCAGTAAAAGACCCTGACCGGGATGGCCCTTGATGTACCGTAGGACACGCATTGCAGCATTCATGTGGTCCATGGTGGGTGCCTGCATATATTGAGATAAAACATGAACTGCATAACATATATCCGGGCGTGTAATCGTCAGATAGATAAGACGCCCAACAAGTCACCGAAACTGTGCGGGATCGTGGAGCAATGGAGCCACAGACGTACCCAAGCCGTGGGTAGTAGGGAGTGGTGTAGACGCAGGTTTACACCCTGCAATCCGGCTTCATGCAAAATATCCTTGGCATACTTACGCTAACATAAAACCATCCCGGAAGGGGAACGAGCACACTCAATGCCCAAAAAATACTTTACTGGGCCCAAATCCTTAAGCTGAAAACAACGGTCTAGATATCGTTTGAAAGAAGCACACATAGAAGCATTATTACCGGCAACTAAGATATCATCAACGTAAACCAAATCTGTGAGAATATCCGAACCACGACGAAGAATAAACAGAGTGTGATCTTTGTGGGCCTTCTTGAAACCCTAGTGGCGAAGTGCAGCACTGAGTTTATTAAACCAATACCGAGGAGATTGACGCAACTCATATAGAGATTTGCGTAAATGACGTACTTTCTCATGAATAGAAAACCCAGGAGGCATGCGCATATAAACTTCTTCAAGCAAATCACCATTTAAAAAATCATTATTCACATCAAGTTGGTGGATCTCCTAACCTTTAACAACAACCACAGATAAGAGAATACATATCGTACCCATTTTTGCGACAAGAGCACATGTGTCTGTATAACCTGTACCGGATTCCTGGTGGTTACCTAAGACAACTAGGCGTGCCTTATCCCGTTCGTTTGTGCCATCAGGATGAAATTTGGTACCATAGACCCACTGGCAACCCAAAGCTTTCCGGTCAAGAGGAAGATCAGTAATCTCCCAAGTATGATTTTTCTCCAATGCATCAATCTCCTGTTGCATGGCTAGACGCCAATTGGCATATTCCATAGCCTCCTTGAAATTTCGTGGCACCTCAGTAGTGGAAATGGCTGCCAAGTAACCCTTGTACCTGTCATGTAATTTCCCACCTGTCATGTAATTTCCCAAAATGAACAAAATTATGTATAGGATACCGGGTACCTGAAGAATGCAAAGAGGAAACGGAAGTAGCAATGGGAGTCAATGTCCGAGCTGTATGGCAGTAGTAGTCAGAGAGGTGAGGAGGGGTCGTCGTTCATGGCCACAGGGTAGCGATGGAGGAGAGGATGGTGGCGACGGTGGACTGTCCGGGCTGGCAGACTCACCGTCGCTGAAGCTATGGTCATGGGCTTGCCCAAAGGCTGAGGCTGAGGCAGTGGCTGGAACGGTAGAAGGGAGGGAGTCGACGGCAGGAGGGAGAGGGTCGCCGTCGACAAACGTAGGGTCATCATGACTTTGAGGGGTTTTAGGCTTTGTAACTGCAAAGGGAAAAATGGTTTCATTGAAGGAAATATCTCGCGTATGGAAAAATCGATGAGTTCCAAGGTCATAGACTCTCCAATCCTTTATCCCAGTAGGATATCCCTCGAACATGCATTTGATACTCCGGGGATTGAATTTGTTTCGTGGGCGTTGGTTGTTACGGACGAAGCAGAGACAACCAAACACTCGAAGATGAGACAAGTCTAGAGGTTGTGAAGAAAGGAGTTCATACAGAGATTTTCCTTGGAAAAGTGGAGTTGGAGTATGATTGATTAAGTACACAGCAGTAAGTATACATTCACCCCAAAATTCAATATGAATAGAAGCTTGAAACATAAGAGAGCAAGCAACATTAAGGATATGACGATGTTTACGCTCGACTCGATCATTTTGCTGTGGGGTATTGACACAAGATGTTTGAATGAGAACGCCCATAGTATTATAAAATTGAAGCAAGGATTTATTCAGAAACTCAGTAACATTGTCAAAACGAACAATTTTAATAACTTTGTCGTACTAAGTTTGAATCAAAGTGAAGAATTGTTTTAGGCAACTTGTCACCTCAATTTTATCAATAATGAGAAATACCCAAACTGCTCGAGAATAATCATCAACAATAGTGAGAAAATAATGAGCCCTAGTAGATATGCACGGGGAATAAGGACCCCATAAATCACAATGAATTAAATCAAACAATTGATGTGCTTTATTAATCCTTGGAGAAAAAGGAGAACGAGTTTGTTTGGAGAGAAAACAAATATCAGAAGACTGAAACTTTTTAATTTCAGTGCTACTTTTATTGAACGGGGGTAAATATAAAACTTGGGGAGATGGATAGATGACCGAGCCGTTGATGCAACAAAGAGACTGACTCGGCCTTGGACGCACGGGCTAAGGATGGAAAGACATAGACTCCATTGCGAGCTTCACATTGACCAATTTGCGTCCTCGTAGTGCGGTCCTGTATTACACAAAATTTGTCATCAAAGAAAACACAACAGTTATGGGAATTGACAAGACAATTCATAGACATCAAATTGCATTTCAAATTCGGGACATATAATACGTTGTGCAAGGTCAAGGATGGAGACACTTGCACACTACCACACGAATTAGAGACAACGTGTGCTCCATCGGGCAAACTGATAGTGCATGGTTACAACATTAGATAAATAAGAAAGGACCCCGGTCATGTGGTGAGAGACACCACTATCAATCAACCACTCGCATGGCACTAAGAGAGACATAGTTTGCAATTTGTCAGAAACAGAGGCAGCATAGTCAATCATGGAAAAGAGGCGTGCAACCTGATCGGATGATAGGGAGGATAAAGACGGCGGTACCTCGCCCGCTGCATTGGCCGTAGGTCTGGCGGCTGCTCCTTGTTGTCCCATGGCAGTTGTGGGCTGCGGACCGGCTGATCTGCCGCCGCGTTGCCCACGGCCTCCCCCTCACTGAGAAGAATTCCGGCCGCACCCTCGTCCCGAGTTGGGAAACCCAACGATCAAATAACATCGATCAATTGTATGTCCTTGTTTACCGCAATGAGTGCATTGGTAGGTGTTGTTTGGTATACGAGGGGCGGCAAACGCCATGGCATTCGTGTGATCATCACGTGTATGCACGACACTACGGTGATGTTCTTCTTGAGATACCAAATAAAAGGCCCTATTTAAATCCGCAGGAGGTTCTCCAAGTATTTGTCTCTGAATGGCTCTAAATTGTTCATCATCAAGTCCTAAAAGAAACATTTAGACTTTAGCTTTTTCATTCTTCGCCCGTAATTTTGCCGCTGCCTCACACGTACAGCTGTAGGTGGGGTCTTCAGGGCCATAAAGCTTGCTCCAGAGAGTCACAAACTGATTATAATATGCCACCACTGTTTGCCCTTTTGTCTCAAATTATGCAATTCATTTTCTAGTTGATAGATTCGAGGCTCATTCATGGTACTATTAAGTGACTTCAAATCTGTCCACAATTGTTTCATCAACGCTGTTAAAAATCTAACTGCAAATTGTAGAATTATTTGCCTCCGCCGGTGGCAGTCAAAAACGCTGCCTTACTTCGACCCTTCAATGCATTCAAAATCGTTTATGTCACCCTTCAATACATGTTTTGTCAAAGAATTACCTGGTCCCTCGGAAGGATGAAGATAATATTCTGAAGAGGAATCATGGATCAAACATGTCTTTTTAGTTGTAGTCTTGTAGAACACATGGCATAAAATTTCCTGGTGCCTGGTGCTTGTCCGATCGCCGAATAGAAAAAGAAAAACCAAAAAAACAGGTGCTTAATGCTTGTGTGATCGCCGAGCAGAAAAAGGAAAACCAAAAAAAGTGCTTGATCTCAATATGCCAAGGAAATTGTCGTCCCACTATTGCAGAAAATCAAGCAAACGCACGATCAAAAGCAAATCAATCGGCAAAACAGAGCAGATAAACACAAACCTAGAATTTTGGCTCCAATACCATGTAGAAATTTAGCAGAAACTAAATTCCCTTTTCATTAAATGTAAAGTAATATATATACAAGTATAACTCTAACAGGATTGTTGAGGACCAAAAGTCCAAAATTGAGGAATGTGTGGAACTCGGGGGGGATGTAAATTGTGGTTTGTGGAGGAAAGTTGGTGTGAGTGGCAAATAAATGATTGACACACGAAAGACCCTACACAGTATAAATTGGTCATTGTAGTATCCAAATAATATGCCTAAACCAAAACATGTAAACCATAACATTGTTACATAGCCACATAGGGAGTACAATGTATTACAGATATAATATGGCCATAGCCTTACAAATACAAATACTTTGTATTATACAAATACAAATACAAATACAAATACAAATACAAATACTAATAATAATAATAATAATGGCCATAGCTTAACCACAAAATGAGTACAATGTTGTTATATATATATATATATATATATATATATATATATATATATACCCCACAAAATATATAAATACCGGAGTATATAATAAAGTTGTGACAATGTCGTTCCGCGGGAGGCCTTGATGATACCCATCACTTGCCTTCTCAACCAGATTCCTTGCGGGCAGCGGGTCCCATCTGGACTCCCATGGAGGAGCCGTCAGTTGAACCCTCCTCCTGCTTGGCGGCGCCCATTGCAGCGCCTTTCAGTCCCTTCCGGTGTTTCACCTTATGAGCCCAATTCATAAGGTTGGCTTGCAGATGCTCGTCAAATATCGATTTCTTGAAATGCGTCCCCATCTACACACATCACACACACCCACACAATGAATGAACGAATATGTTGGAGTATATATTATGTAACATTTCAGAGCCTTGTTGAGTTAGAGGTCACGAGTTCAAATCTCACTGTCACTCTCTATGGATATATGCATAGTAATTACCTGTGTGACTATGGCATAGAGTGGCAATGTGCTATAACTGCAAAGCACCTGAATAATTACACTGGAAATAAAACAAAAAAGTAAATGCATTATCGTCGTGTTCTATCTTGTCACAACTTTAAAAAAATTATAAAAAAGTAAATGATTTTTCATTTTTGTATCGTATAGCCTTACCCTATGACAAGCCTAGGGACGATGAATCTGACTTGCCCCATTATGCAAGAGTCGAAGCCATATGTTACCTAATAGTAATTTTAACAAAAAAAGAGATATCAAAACCGAGGCACTGTAGTGAAAGAGCTGGACCACAAATGAAAAGCGAAATGCAAGTGTTTACCCATATCCAGAAGAAGAACGCGATTTCGAAAGCATTTTGGAAAAGAATGAAGTGTATGAGGAATAGAATGATTTGAGGGCGACCGAACCAGAAGTGCTCATCAGAAGGCTGCACAACCAAATCACCCTCGATCGCAACATGTTTCTCGGCAACCTCATGAGCCAGTTGCATTATTACATGCTCCAACTTCGTCCCAACAGCAAGTAAGAGCTGGAAAATATATAAACCAAGAAGTCGTCATTGTGGCAATTACCTCTCTACTTAGACATTTTTTTAAAAAAAAGAACAAAAAGAACAAAAAGAAGAAGAAACATTGTAGTGTCACTCACAACAAAAGGAATGAATGCAATCCAGAAATATGTATGCCAACCTGCAAAAAAAATATGTGAATATACTTTCTCTGGACAATTGCGAATGCAGTTGTAAATGCAAAGGAAAAAATAATAATCTCGAGTTAGAATGGTATACCGTTAACATTCAGCAACAAAAATATAACCACAAATACCCACAAATACCAACTGCAGCACATTGAAAAAAAACATAAATTTCATGATAATAACAGATAATAATAATAATAATAATAATAATAATAATAATAATAATAATAATAATAATAATAATAATAATCATTGTCACTTGCAAACTTGCCTAATGCCAACAACTATCTGGAAGTCGTCTTCCAGTGCACGAATCATGTATTTGTGAAAATTGAACTTTCGATTGCCCCTACAATGACTCTGTTGTGGGGACATGTTAAACAAGGAAATGAGGATCATCTAAAGCATGTGATGAAATAGGAAAAAGATTCTCCCGTGTAATAATTGTTACCATAATGAATCCCAAGCGCAGAGCTGAATAATCTGACTTCGTGACAGAACCATAGAATTGTTTGAAGAAAGAGTGCTGAAAAGTTCACAAAAAGTTATTTTAATCACACCCATAGTGATAATTGTAGAAAATATATCTCCCCAAAGACATATTGACAGCATAATGTTGAAAGAAAGGAAAGAATTGGAGCATACCAACCAACCCAAGATGATCGACCGTTTACCCATACCCACAAAGCGATTCTTGATAAAATCATGTTCATGAACATGGGTAAGACCAGGAATCCCATCTGCAAAGGAAAGGCAAATGCATCCATTACAGAAAATTTTGCATTGTGCAGGAGAGGGAATGTACAAATGTAATAATAAAAATATGGAAAGTACTCTGTAGTAAATATTTAACCTTGGACAACTAAATTTATCAGCACCAAATAAAGACAACTGACAATTTCCAGAAAGACATCTTTTTTCCATTTTTAGGACTTGCCAAGCGAGAGGATTGTGCATTAACATGTGCAGTAAAGAAAAACATACCGGTCCCATTTTCAGTATTACGTTTGGCAATGGCATCTTCCCAGCGCTTCCATTGGCGAATCTATGACATGGTTTACAAATTTAAGAACAAAGAATTGAAATAACATAGTGAAAAAACAAAGGAAGAGCGGTGCATAAAACCATAGTATAGTTCTCAGATATCTGAACTGACCTTTGCCCCTCCAAATACAATGGTGAGAAGGGAGAATGTAACATGCACAATTGCAAGGACAAAGATAAAGATGTGCAGGTGGTGCAAGGCCTCTAGAGATAATAACGGGACCTTGTGCTGTAAATGAAATTCAGATTAAAAGGGTATTAGAGTCGGGCTTTCAAATGTTGCCAAAACAGTATGCTTGGTATGAGAATCAAATTCGAATACATAATGCTCCATCCGTGTCACAAAAGGGGTTTTGTTTCCCTATTTTTGTCCCAAAAAAGAGTTTTTTACAATAAAAGTGTCACAAATATGTTGAGTGCCATTATGATAGAGCCAATGTTTCCAAATTTATTTTAACTAAGATTTTATTGCAAGCATTATTCAGCTCTTTTAAGGACATTATTTTGAACTTCTAAGTTGAGAATTCCCCCGGCCTGAAACCCAAAAGCATGAGATCAAGCGATATAAAATTCAATTGAAGTAGCCATATGAAACTGGACACCTTTGCAGCACAGTAGCTAGCATTGCTTCCTCCTGAAAGCAACCTGCGATTATGAGATTGTGTTTTGCCCGATGAAGAAGAAGAAGAAGAAGGAGCATCCTGCAGGGAACAAGGGAGCAAATGGTGCATCACATCCTCTGTCACACAAATCTTTGTCATTGTCTGTTGGGACACAGTCAATAGCAGCGATATAAACCCCAACAACATCAACTCTGCAGTTCCATTACAGCACGAAAATGAAGTAAATCTTAGAAATGATGATGAGAACATTATGATTCAAGTTCAGAAAGAAAGAAAGAAAGAAAGAAACCTTCTTTGACTTTCTGGAGGGCTTCATAAAGAGGCTTTTGATTCTTCTTCTTCAGATACTGCAGATATAATCAAGAAACCAAACATAGTACAGCAACCCAATTAGAGCAAAAAGTTAACTTTTTTCGAATGCAAATCAGATGGGGAAATCATAAAGCACAGTAACTATCAAGCGAAAAATGGAAGGCAAGAGACCATTCCGGTGAAATGGAGGAGGCGCTCGACGGCGAGCGAAATGGCGACGATGAAGGTGCAGACGGCGGCGACCACCCATGTCGGCGTGAACTCCAATGTTGTCTCCTCGTCCCCTCCGCCCCCGCTCATTGCTCTCTCACTCTCCTCTATACAAACAAAATCAAATCAAAGACCCAAATCCAGTTTTTCGGATTTTTGATGAAGAAGAAACTCCAAGAACAGTTTTTTTTAAAGAATCAAAGTCCAAGAACAGTTAAGGGCGATGTGATGGAGTTGAAGGAGGGGAGACCGAAGTGTGAAAAGCTGTAACGCGCTCCCTGGGCAAGTTTTACTGCTACGAATTTCAACGTTTTTGAGGTTTGGTTATCAACAGAAAGAATAAAACGTTCTACTTTTCTCTTTTTTTTGTGTGTTTAAATTCCTTTTTTCTTCTTTTTGGAAATTTTAAACTTGGTTCTTTTAGACAGCAGAAAAAGTGGAAAAATTGTCTCCTCCGTATTTACTTCCCCATCCCACAATCATTTTCCATCTCAAAGCAAAATTTGCAATATCATACTCATTTGGTCTCACTATTTTTGAGATATGAAAAAGTGATGTATGAATTAACAAAAATAACAATATATATATATGTGTGTATAAGGATGAAGTTTTTTATATCCAAAACTATTTTTCTTACATATTTGATTGGATGATCATTTAATCGAGTGAATTTTTAACATTTTAATTCTTCCAATATTTTCTAATTCTTTTCAGTGACTTCTTCTAGTCTATTCCAATTCATTCTAATTTCTCCCAACATCCAATTCTAAAATTTCAACTCAAAAGAACATAACTTAAATATAATTACAATCAGATCAAATCAAAATTTAATCAAATTTGATCAGATGCAATCAGATAAGTAAAAGAGAACAAGCCCTAAAGACCACACAAATATGCCTAAATATACTATGGGACAAAATAGAGACAAATATGGCAACATTTAACTTTTTTTTCTAATTGAAAAGGAGCATAGCCTAAAAGATCGAATTCCATCAATTACTTAGTTAAGTTCAAAAGCTTATTAAAATTATTTTCATCTTCAATTTCTAATTCTGAGATACTTTAACAAAAAAAAGTTAAATGTTGGAAAAATTTGGGAAGAGTTGAAAAAAAGTAAAAGGAGTTGGAAGAAATTAGAAAGGGTTGGAAAAAATTGGAAATGTTGGATTAAATTGGAAGGAGTTAAAAAAACTGGAAGGAGTTAGAAAAAACTAAAAGAAGTTGAAAAAATGACTTGGAAGAAGCTGGAAAGATCTATAAAGAGTTGTAAAAATTTTGAAAGATTTTTAAGTAATTAAAAAATGTTAAAATAATTGTTTTATTTTATAAACTTCATATTTAATTTAAAAGATGTATACTTTACTTTTTAATTTTTAATCTCTTTTTATTTTCTTTTATGACATTACATTTTAGATTGGCAATGACAAGTAAAGAAATGGAATGTCACACGGTGATATGGCATATTTCAACCAGTTAAAAACTGCACAGTCACAAAATGGCATGGAGTGGAGTTTAACATTTTTATTTACTTTTTACATTTTTTGTCATATTTTAATTATTAAAAATTATTTTTTAAATTTATTTTGCTAAAGAATTACTTCTACGTATAAGAAGATTTTTGTTCTCCTAAAAAAAGCTGAAAATGGGACGTGGCAACTTTAAGGTTGCCTCTCTTACCGTGGAGGAACGCAAGTGATTTGCAAGGCATTTCCATTCCAATCTGATGTGTCAGGCGTGTCAACTAAAATGGCACGCCATTGGGAATGCTTTTATCTTAAATTGTATTTGTAATTCTTTGTGATTCACTCTTTCTTTACTTATTAAAATCAGTACCAATCATATAATTTTTTGGTTATTCTGTTGTATGTCACTAATCGAACAATAACATAGTTAGATCCCACAAGAGTATGGTCTGGAGAAAGTGTGTATATGCAGACTTTGCCCCTGCTCAAAAGTAGTGAGACTATTTTTTCCAAGAGACCCCCAGCTCAACTGCATAGATAAAAAGATCGCAAGAGATACATAAAGTAAAGAAGGCACATATAAAGTACAAAGCACAGAGAGACAAAGGACAAATTAAAGGTAACAGAGGAAAAGTACTACAAACAGGGAATACCAAACATACAAGGCATAGGTACGCAGATATAAGATAATGTTGATCCAGGGTCTATCAATACATGCATGACAGTATCAAATAAGGTAAACATACCCTGAATGACGTCAGGGTTCTCCTCAGCTCGTGCCTTTATTGCATAAGTACGAGCAGGAGCTCGTCCCTGTTGTTGACCCTGGTTCTTGGCCGGATTAGATCTTGTCGTCGATCGTTGACTAGGCGCAGGTCGTGCTGAGGCTGATTGGCTGGCAATTGGGGCCGTCGGAAATGGTTTTCCAGGATTAGTGGGACAATCCTTTCGGAAATGTCCAGATTTGCCACAACCGAGACATAATCCTTGGGCAAGCCAACACTCGCCTGGATGATGTCTCCCACATGTATCGCACAATGGGTGTTTCCATCCTCTTGATTTGTTTTCCGACGCCACAGAGTGCGTCTGCGCCGATTTCCCTTTCTTTGATAAGTGCGAACTGCTAGATTCTTGGAAGAGCCTTTTCCCTTTTGAGGCAAAGCCGGTGGAATGGTGAGTGCTTGAGCCAGCTATTGTTTGTCTTCAGATACTCAATGCAAGCACGCAGGTCACTATCTGCCCTGGCTATGATTTCGTAGGCCTCTGCGAAATCCACAGTGGTTAGGACGGACACACGCGACCTGAGGTCAGGTCGAAGTTTCTTCCTGAACTCCTCAATGCGATCGGTTGGGGTACTCACCAAGGTTGGCGCAAACTTAGCAAGACTGGTAAACTTCTGACGATACTCAGGGAGTGTCACGACAAATTCTTTACGTCTTTCTTCGCTAAAACGTTTTGGAATATATTCTTGCTTGAATGCCCATTCGAAATGTGCCCATGTCCATGGCTTAGGAGTTCCTGCACTCTCATCGGTCCTCTTCTACCATTCATAGGCTTCCTTGCGGAGTAGCTAAGAAGCCAGTCGGGGATAGTTGCCCATGGGTACATTAAGATCCTCCAATACTCGAGCAGTCTGCTCGATCCTGTCCCAAGCAATTTGGGGTTCACCGATGCGATCCCTAAGGAATAATTCCGCACCATTATCCCTTAGCGTTTTGTAGGTTACCACACGAGGTGGCGGTGGTGGAGGTGGTTGAAACATTGGTGTGTTGGCTATCTGTTGTAACACATTAGCCAGAAATGTTGGAATCACAAGGTCGGGTTGACCATCAGCGTTTGGGTTATTCTCAACATTTTGTTGATCGACGGGTTCATTGTGGACGGGAGGGGTGAAGCTAGGTGCTTCAGTATGAACACTAACATGTTCATTGTTGTTGCCTTGTCCATGGGCGGATTCTTGACTCATTCTACAATAACAAAAATTCCTTTATTAGGATTCTTTTATTTTAGTAGTGGAGTTCATGACAGGAATTGCAAAGGATTACAACATTCGATACAATTAATGGATTGGAAACGAATAACAAGATAATTTCTAAACGTTTGCGCTCGATCGATTGGATCGTGACGATTCTATAGCTGGGTCTTCTACGCCCGATCTGCATACGCTGTTTGCAGAGTCTACGTTGAACGTCTCTTCCGGGTCATCCCGTTCCCATGCAGCCTTGCGGCGCAGATAAATCCTTCGTTTCATTTTTCTCACGAAGCGATGGGCGCGTTGATAACGTATCAACGAGTCATATACATTTCGTTTGTTCTTTCGTCTTTTACCATGTACGAAAGTGCGACTTGAATCAACACTTGATATCATTTCCGAATTAACAGTTGACATCTATAAGGATTTAATACAGTCAAATTCAATACTTTATTTTTTTTATTACCTTCCTGGAGTAGAGGGATGCGAGAGTCGTGGGTTTGATTGACAAATTTTTTTTAAGGCCGAAAAAAATATATATCATATATGTAAATATATTTTTTTAAACAGATTTTTAATTCGAAGATCGGTTTTAAAACCATATGCTCCGATACCAAATTGTAACACCCTAATCCGTCCAGGTCTGCAGCCCCTTTCAGACTAAAACATAAACTTGATATACGTAAACATTCAAAATATTTCAAACATTTAAAAACTTTATTCAATAATAAATTATCCAAGGTATAACGGAGTAGTTTAACGTTGCGGAAGCTGAATATATAATAATTACAAAACATAATAATTTTATGTCTTTTTAAAACATCAATTCATTTCACATATGCACCCCGACCATCTCGCTCCCGTCTGCCTCCAGGAATCATCACTTCATTCATTTTGTTTACCTGCGTGTAGCAAACAAAATACACTACACGCTCAGCGGTGAAGCTGAGTAAGCATATCTAAAGCATCGAACATCAACATAAATTGAATCTCAATTCATAATTAACCATTTCTAGATATCCTTAACAATATACACCGTTTTCATGATCACCATTATATTCATTTCTAATCATGATTTAATCATCAATAATCATTCTAATCAGTAGGTTTATCATTCATAATTGGCCACAAAAAATAATTCATCATAATGATCATTCAACATAACATTTAATAACAAATAGCGGCCTAGTCTCGAGTGTTAACACCCGAACTTACCGTCATGCATCACACAAGATTTTATGTGTTAAAAACATCATTTGTATTGTACAAAATCATAATCAATTGGTATCAAAAATAGAATCCCATAGTTCAAAAATCATGTTTTCTAAATAATAATTGATTAATATATGATAGGAAATTCAATTATTAACTATTAGCTTCATTTTCTTCAATAGTGCAGGAAGACAGTCTACTGTCACTTTTGATAATCTACTGTCTGATGTTCAGAATGGGCTGATAATCGATTATCACACTTTGATAATCGATTATCAAACTTCAGAGAGGGCTGACAGTCGATTGTCACATTCTGACAGTCGACTGTTGCTCAGCTAAGTTCTAAAAATCTGCAGAACAATGAATAATCGATTTTTAAGTTGATAATCGATTATCCATCGTCTTCTTCCTCGAGCCAACTTGCGGAAATGTCACTTTTACTTACCAAACTTCAATTCAGGTATATAAAAATATTCTCCAAGGTTCATAGATCATTTTAGCATCATTAATTCATAATTTTAACATCAATTTCATGGTTTATGATTCTTAGTTCTTCAAGCATGTCAAACACAAAACTCAACCAAATGACCATTTATGAACGTAGAAACGACTTATATGAACATTCTAGTCATTAGATATATCTAGGGGCTTACCTTAATGTTAAACGATGATTCCGGCGAAAAGACGGCGAAACTTCCGGCAACAAAAGCTCTCAACTCCGGCGACCTTTCACCAAATTGATAGCACCAGAGTGTTCTCCTTTCTCAGAGCAGCAGAATAGAGGAAAAGATAGGATGTTTTGGTGAAGAATAGAGGGAGTTGGGTGTGGTTATGTAGGAAGGAAGAAGAGGAAGATGCCAAGGTTCACTCCTGTTTGTGCGGCCGAGTGGAGTGAACGGCGATTGTGTTGGATTTCAAACGCAAGTCCCTGATTGGGACAAATTTCAGTCACAGTCGGGGTACATTTTTCTGGTCCAACTTTCTCCAAATTGAAATCTGATTGAACCGTTGGAGTCAAACAGTCAAAGTCTACACAACGATATAATTTTCATTAATTATTGACAAACTTTATAATTCACTTATTTTTGGGTCCTTCTCAGTAATTAATTAATTATCAATTAATTAATTCTGATAGGCCTATTTTTGGGGCGTTACATTACCTAAGCCTCTCGCATCTCTACACAGGAGCGTCAACATCCCGTTGCCATATATGCCCAAATCATCTCAACCTAGCTTCCCCCAGCTTGTCTTCCACATGTGCCATGCATACCTTTCTTTGGGTAACCTTGTTCGGGTCCTATCCAACCTTGTCTGTCCACACATCCACTATAGCATCCTCATCTCCGCAACATGAATTCAATGAACGTGGGCTTTCATAACTGCCCAGCATTATGCACCATACAACATAGTTAGTCTGACTACAGATTGATAAAATTTACATTTCATCCTAGCCAAAATTTTCCTATCTCACAGAACCCCTTAAGCAATCCTCCACTTAGGCCATGTTCTTTTCACTTGATCTGATTGGTTCTAATCTAATTAGAATACGTTCTGATCTGATCTAATATAGTCTAATTTGATCTGATTTGATTTGATCTGATATGAATGTAGTTATATTTAATGTTATTTATGATCTGATTTGATTCTAATAAAATTAAGTAATAAGTAAAAAACTAAGTTGAGGAAAACATGGACTTAACCCAGGCTGCACCAATACGATGAGCAACATCCCCGTCCAACTCCACATATGCATAAATGACCGAGACCAGATACTGAAACTTATCACCTTAGGAATTAGGTGAGAATCGATCATTACTTCCACCCCTGCTTCCGTCTCCTGACCATTGAAATAACATTCCATGCATTAAGTCTTGATCCAACTTAGTCTGAATCCTTTGGATTCCAAAGAAAGGCGTCAAAGTTCCACCTTGTTGTTAGTCCGTCGCGGGTGTCATAGATAAGTATAATATCATCCGCAAAAATAAAAAGACAAATGAACCAATACATTTTACTAATCTTACTTGAAAGAAAAAATTGGGTTTAAATAATATAACAATGTCTCAAAATAATTATAAAAATAACATGAGACTAACAATGTTAAATTTGCATTAAAAATTACTGATTTATAATGATTGATATATTTTATATAATGATCCAAAAAAATTCAATTACTAAGGAAGTAATGATTGCAGAGTATATATCGCTTATAAGAATTTTTATATCAAAACAACAAAGTATTGATTAATAATTCGAAATTAATTTAATTAATTTTTTTAGCAAAGGAACCTCGAATGCCAAATTGGAGAAAAGAGTATGAGAAGACTTCGGTTAGGGGTCGGTTCTTATAAGGCAAATTCCATGGTGGACTTAAACTCTACCATGGACCTACATAAGAGCAAAATAAGCATTTCCTTACTGCTTAAATAAGCATTCATTTTTTAATAAAAAATAAAAAAATAGATTTTATTGAGAAGATCCACAAAAAAGTATGCACCGAAGCTGCACCATAGAAGCACTCTTCTTATAAGGGTTTAAGTTGTATTTATTTCCAAAAGTTTCCATTTTTTAGATACAAAAAACTCACTATTTTAAAATAAGAAGGGAACCAGAAAAAAGCATTAAAAAGAACGCCCATTAATTCAAAATCTGGTTGGGGTCATTGTTTACAAGAATTTGAGTTATTTTTATTTCCAAAAACTAGTATTTCTACCCGTGCCATGCACGGGATAATACACAATTTTTGTCAATTCTAAAATTTGTTCCATGAAATTTATGTTTTGGAATAAAGAAATTTTATTTCTCACATGATTTTTAATACAATAAGTGTAAAATGCCAAAGTAGACTTAATAATATTCGAGCAATTGAACGTAGACTGAACAATATTTATTTTAATACCAAATTTTTTGAAAGACTTCAGGGTATATGATACGGATAGTTAATTATAATATTTCAATTAGTTATATTATTATTTAGTAGATATTTATTATTAATATTTATTAATGGATTAGGGTTTAGTACGGGCCCGAGCCCATTAGGTCAATTAGGGTTTTCTGCGTCTTTATATATTGTAACCTTTCGTTATTATTATTCAGTCAATCAATAATCAAGAATTCTCTTAATCCCTCGTCTCTCTTCTCTTGGAGCTCAGAAACGCTCGAAGTTCTTCCCTATCCGATACGATATTCGTATCAATTGGTGCTCTCGTTGAGAGAACTCACCCAATAAAAAATCAAAAAAAAAAAACATTCCCGGATTGCAACACCTCTGCCTCTGGCCGCCAGTCCAAAGATTGCCTTTGCCGTCGCCCGATTCTTGTGTCTGCACAGGTTTTCCGAAAATCTGCAGCGGGATTTAATTTTTTTTGCATGGTTGAATTAGTTGGGGCTATTTTAGGGGTGATTTTTTTGTGGCACGGTTGTTGCTCTTCAATTACAGAAGCTTGTTTTCACTTTTCAAAGCCAAGATTTAGAATCCAAATTGCAGAGTCTTTTGCTTTGGTTAACTTACCACACTTTGCAGTATCCAAATTCCCTTGAGCCGTTCAGAACATCAATTGTGCAGAAGAGCGATTGTATTCAATTTGTTATGATGATGAACTCTCCCATAGAGAAACTTTTTGATTTGTTAGAGAAAGTTCTTTATGGAGAAATTGAGCATGATGAAGGAGTTTGTTTGGTTTTTGATCAAGTATATGAAATTATTAAGAGGCTCAGGTCGGTCCATCATTTTGAAGGTCAAATTGATTATGATGCGATCGACGTAGAAATTTTTTGCTCGGTACAGGATTTAGTTCGAGGACCTCTAATTGTGCCAAGTCAAATTCCTTTTGAGTTACAAATTTTCAGAGCACACCTTCTGGGTACTATACGGCAAGTGACAGGCGCTCCACTTTCTCCACCGACGTTGCCCCCAAAATGTGACGGATCTGAACCCTTGCAGTGGTTAGGAAAGGTATGTGCGTATTTTCAGTTTTATGAGATCCCTTTAGCTGATCGTTTGAACCGTGTGACATCACTGTTAGATGGATCTGCATTGGCTTGGTTTAATTGGCGTATGCGTGGTGGCTTGATTGATGGTTGGGATGATTTTGTGGAAAAGTTCAAGATTCGATTTGCTCCGTTAAACACTTTGGATTATATTTCTTTTGAGAAGACATCGGCGAAGGCTAGAGACGCATTTGTCCACATGGTGGAAGTCGCAACCACACTCCCCGTCCCCATTGTGGACATAGATGGGTCAAAAGAATCAAGCAAGGAATCTCATATCAAAGAGGATGATTATAGCGGGTCTGGCATCGTTGGCGATGATGGGGGTGCTATTGATGAAAATGGTGGTGCTACTATTCAAAGTGACGAGCCATCTTACAAATCAGATTCTACTAGCCGAGAATTATATGTGCCACTAAACGCCTCGGTTGGGATGACAATTGCAGAGTATGAAGCTCTAGCAAGTATCGAGAGGGTGGCAGATGCAGATAAGAAGCAGGTGGCCAACCTCATTTCATTTGATGACACCATTAAATTGTTTGACCTAGTCGATGTGGTCAAGATGGAGCACCTGGTTTCACCGAGAGCAACTACATATGCTATGCGCCCCGTCTCCTTTTTTCCCAACTTTGCTACAAGAGCCAAGCTAGGTGAAGATTCAAAGAGTGGACTGCTCCTTTGGTTCAAAGAGTGGACTGCTCCTTTGGTTCAGATCCTACTTTTCAGGAATTTTCTACCTCAGGTGGTGTGGTCATTGCAGAGTATGATATTCCAAAAAGTGTTGACAAAGTGAGAGATGGAGATGGTAAACAATCACACTCGCCTATGTTGATTGACACCATCACACTGTTTGAGCTTGTCGATGTGGTCAAGACGGAGCACCTGATTTCACCAAGAGCAACTACATACATATGTTCAGCGCCCCGTCTCATCTTTCCATCACTTTGCTCCAAGATCCAAGGTGGTTGAAGATTCAAAGAGTAGACTGCTCCTTTGGTTTGGCATTCTCTCTCCGGTTCAGAAGCACAAGTGGGAGCCTCCACCTTGAGGACAAGGTGGTTTTTAAGGGGGTGGGAATGATACGGATAGTTAATTATAATATTTCAATTAGTTATATTATTATTTAGTAGTTATTTATTATTAATATTTATTAATGGATTAGGGTTTAGTACGGGCCCGAGCCCATTAGGTCAATTAGGGTTTTCTGCGTCTTTATATATTGTAACCTTTCGTTATTATTATTCAATCAATCAATAATCAAGAATTCTCTTAATCCCTCGTCTCTCTTCTCTTGGAGCTCGGAAACGCTCAAAGTTTTCCTTCTCTCTTTGCCTCCCCTTTCTTGGAGCTCGAAGACGCTCGAAGTTCTTCCCTATCCGATACGATATTCGTATCAGTATACATTCTTGGTATGGTTGCACGGGTTTCCATTGTCATCTAGAACTAATATTTTTAATCCCGACTTTGTCTTTACTCACGAAACAGCAACATAAAGTTGACCATGTGTGAACACCGACTTGGTTAAAAATAATCTCACATATGACAATGTTTGACCTTGACTTTTGTTGATAGTCATAGCAAAACATAAGATTGAGAATTGTCTCCTTTGGAACTTCATGGGTATCAAATGTGACTATAATTGTTTTTATTTTCGAATTTAAATTTATTTGATTTTTAGGAATTGATTTTTTATCCATGAATTTTTTATGGAATTATTTGATATTTTCTGAATTGAAATATAAATATTTTTAATATTTTTTACTAATATGTTTTAAGAAATTCCATGGGTTAAACGTTTTACTAAAAAAATGAACTGGATAGTTTACAAATGGCGTTACTAATTCTTAAGATAAATCTTATGAAATCCAAGAAAAAAATATACCCCATATTAATTTTGTCACTATGACTTCTTTTTTCATCTTGAATTATTTTGTTAGACACGAAAAATATTTTGTTAGTCACAAATATGAATTTGAAAGTTTAAGAAAAAGAGTATTTTTTGATTATAAATAAGTTAGAAAATAAATTTTAAATTTCACTGATTATTTTAGAAGTTTATTTTAAATTTTATACTATTATTTTAAATTATTTCAGAAGTTGAATTTATAAAATTTTTAATCAAAAATATGAATTTTAGTTTTCACTCAATTGCATAATATTTCATGAAGGTTCTAATTTCTTCCATAATACACCCTCTGTGTTTGAATTTAATCTTCTCATTTGACTTCTCTTGGTCAATTTTGTATACTTTAACCTCGATATATAGAACATTGTCTTTCAACAGAAATGTATTACCAATAACTTCTTTTTGAAACTAATAAATTTCTTCATATTTGGTAGCTCCTATTTTAGAGATAAAAAATATGCATTTTTATTTTGGTACTCTCTCCATGTTTTATCCTTATTATGGTACAGAGTATTTTTTTCCAAAAAATCATAGCGGCACTTTGTACATAAGGCATATACTCCGGATACAACTTAAATTGGATCTACCCATATTTTGATTAAAAATGCCACGTCATTCAAATAGTTAATAGGTGGCGAGTGATTTGTTAAAATGTTCTCATGTAGACTCGCCATTTGTCGCAATTCTAAGTGTTTAACTCTCAAATTTAATATATCAAATTTAATATACAAATCCTTCTGTTTTTATTTAAGTAAAGTGAATATTCCAAGAAAAAAAGGTAATTATAGCCAATTGGGATGACCAATTAAAGAGTCATTAATGTTGCAATTTAAAAAGTCAATATTGTTTGTTAATTAAAGCAATTTTGAGGAAAAAAAGAAAATTGAATTTTTTGAGAATTTCCGTTCATAAGGAAAGCATAAAAAACCTCTTTAATATTGGTAAGCTTATATTTATAGAAATTAAATTTAAAAAATAGGTAAAATATTGAGAAAAAAATGCTCCGAACAATATTGTTTGTTAATTAAACCAATTTTGAGGAAAAAAGTGAATTGAATTTCCGGTCATAAGGAAAGAACCATAAAAAATCATCTTTAATATTGGCAAGCTTATATTTATAGAAACTAAATTTAAAAAATAGGTAAAATACTGAGAAAAAAATTCCGGACAAATTTTCTATTTTTGAAATTAAATCTAAAAACCCAATATTTTTATCCCCTTAAAACGATTTTGAAGAAAAATAGAAAATAAATTTTTAAAAAATTTCAAGGATGTCCCAATTAAAAAACGAATCTAATTTGGATAAGTTTTTAATTCTAGAAATTGAATAAAAAATTAGGTGGAATGATTAAACACCATAGCCATGGCACATTTTCATGGAAGATATCATGCAGATATAGTTTATGGAAACATAAATATAAATGGCGATGGAAGCTAACCTGAAGGAGACGGGTGAGAAGGTTATCGTCATCGACATCGCATCTGTTTAGATCTTCGATCTATGAATTGGAGATAAGGATGGGAGACATTGATATTAACTCTGAATAAAATATTTCATAAATCGTGTAAACCAAAAATACCGAATTGGATAGAAAAGCATTTACTTTGGAAGTCCAAAAGCACTGGATAAATTAACTATTTCAATTCATTTAGTTTTCTGACTTAGATTACGTGTAAGCCAACTGTGTAAAAATGATCCACACTGCACGTACATGCCAAATGTCAAGCTCTGGTGCATTGAGTCTCCTTTATTATAATAAAGGATTCTGTACTCTTTTTTATTAGGAAATGTTTACTATTCCAAAATAATTAGGGGAATTGAAAAATAGTTGTAATAAAAGGCACCAATTCTTTCCCGTAAAAACTTTCACTATCTCGTTTTTCGTATTTTAAGACAAATTATTTTTGCTTTTTAATCTCATTTTATTTTATAAAATTCAAATAGAGAACTTTTATGCAACAAAGGTAGTTTTTAATATACATTCTACATATGCACATTTAAAAACTAAACAATATTAATTTTACATAATTATTTCTTCGCATATTGAAATGTTGTATGAAAATTTATTATTTTTCATATGCTTGAAACATGAACATCATAAAAATTATTAGTGTATGCATATCTAAAATTTATGTAACAACTAGTATTCCTACCCGTGCAATGCACGGGTTACGAATATCTTGTCGATTCTGAATTTATTCAATGCAATATTTTTTTCCGGAATAAAGGAAATATACCTCATGCATTATTTATAATAACACAGAAAAGAAAGGCAAAGTAAAAAGAATAATATTTGAGGAGTTAAATCTACACACAACAAAGTTTGCTTTAATACCAAATTTTTTGAAAGATTTCAGGGTATACAACATTTTTTGTATGACTGCAAGGATTTCCATTGTCATCTAAGACTAATATTTTTAATCCTGTCTTTGTCTTCACTCGCGAAACAGCAACATAAAGCTGACCATGAGTGAACACTGACTTGGTTAAAAATAATCCAACAAATGACAATGTTTGACCATGACTTTTTTAAATAGTCATAGCAAAACATAAGACTATTGGAAATTGTCTTCTCTGGAACTTTAGAGGTAGTCTTGGTTTCAGTGACAGTCGTCCTTGCTTGGAAATTTAGGCGAAAGTCATATCGTGAAGTGCGATAATATCCACTGCTATTGCCGACGCCGAAGTAAGCAAATACATATATTGATCCTTCCTTTATTTTCTTCTCAAAAGTTCCCACCAGAGTTTTTCTTACAGTGGCATGGATAGTAGTTTCCTACAAAATATCAAGGAAACATGAATAGCTATGGGGATTTCATAAGCTTGAAGTCTTAGGCAGAATCTTCAAGGACTATAAAAAATAATGAACACCAAAAAACATGATAAAAAAACAGCAGACTATGAATCTGAAAATAAGGACAGGTTGAAGTGTTCAATAACTTTATCAATAAATCATTTATTCATTGAGATGAAAAAAGAAGCTTCAACGTTTATTTATGGAAAAGCTTCAATACTTTAATAAAAAACATTTATTTATATAAAGATAAGAAAGAGGATATAAAAAAACAACTTATCCTCTACTACTCCTCTTCACCTCTTGTTTTTCCAGCTCTAGGTATCCTCTAAACAACCGGAATTTTAGTGTCTCGTCTGGCAGTTAGATGTGTAGTTACTGAGAACTTAAGAATAACACACAACTATAACTAAACCCACTAATAAACATAAATATAAAGAATAGTAAAGTCCATAATCAATATTTTTCATTTGTCTGAATAGTGTGATTTGTTTTTTCAATACTTAAGGACTGGAGAAACTTCAAGAGACTATAAAAATTAAACTCCACACCATAAAATATGTTAAAAAACAGGAGGCTATAAATCTAAAATTAAGGTCTGAAAAATAAGGACAGACTCAAGTCGTCAATACTTTAATAAAAAATTATGTTTTTTATGGTGCTGAAAATAGAAGATTCAAGGACAGCAGACTTATTACACTTTAAGAACGGCAGAGTTATTATTACATAAATTATAATAATTCCTTCTTAGGCACTATTAAAAAAAATTTAGTCTCATGGTTTTAGGCACTGGAGAAACTTCAACATGAATAGGCACTAAAAAAACTAAACAGACTATAGTATGTTTTGTTTTTTATTACTTAGAATCAGAACATACTATAATGTGTTTTGTTTTTTCAATACTTTGAATCTGGAGAAACTTCAAGAGACTAAAAACTAAACTTCACACCATAAAATATGTTCAAAAACAGCAAACTATAAATCTGAAAATAAGGACAGGCTCAACTCTTCAGTACTTTAATTAAAAAAAATTATTTTTTATGGTGCTGAAAATAGAAGCTTCAGGAAAGCAGACTCATTATACTTTAAGAACAGCAGACTTATCATTCTTCATTTATTTATTCAATATGGGCAATTGAAGAATTTTGGTTTTTATACAGATTAGTATAATTGTGTTTTGAAAGTAAAAGCAAAATAACCTTCTAGCCACTAAAAAATTATAAGAAATCCTATTAAACATAAATTTTATATTGTATGCAAAATACAAATAAGAGTACAATTCTTACATGTTCGTCCATGAATATCATCTCAATCGAATTCGTCATCTTCTCATCATTATACACTGGCATCTTGTACAGTCGAATCACACGAACCAAAACTCTCGAGCATTCACTTGATGGATTGATCTTCAACAAAGGGTGGATCGGTTTGGAAGACATGTCAATTAATCAGATGTTTTAGGTATGAACGTGGCTTACAATGAAAAAATAGATTGATAAAATAGCTTACTTAAAATTTGATTTATATATGACCTAATATAAATCGCAAGAAGGAAACTTACAGCAATAAGGGTAGAAAATCTAGAGATTTGAACCGGAAAATTCGAAAGAAGAACAAATTTCGCAGAGACTAATCATCATAAGAAGGAAAGAAGGCCAATCATTCCAAAAACAATTATGATTTTTTAAGAAAAGGGAAAATTACCTATTCTTAATTGGTACCGATCGTTGGAATCTTTGTGAAGAAGGACCGTGAAGAAGGAAAGAGATTAATTCCAATCACATATTCTCTGAAATCTCGCGGTGGAGCCATTCGAAGATGAATATCGCAGGGAGGTAAATCGAAGGAAAGTGCCGCTGATGTCTCGCTTTCATTCAGACTTGCGGATGAATTCCACATAGAGTAGCCCAAATAAAAGAAGCCCAAAGTAATGAATCATTATCCAACTCGTTTGAAATATTGAGTAAGTCCAATATGATGACATGGCTTATGAAGTGTCAAAAAAATCCCCGTCAGCATGACAAATGTCAAAATTCTGGGAGTTAAACTCTCAAATATAATATATAAAGGATTAATGAAATAAAATAGAGTGTAGAATTATTTTGGTTAACATTTTAAAACATTGACTATAACACATTTCAAATAAAATTAATTAACAAAAATATCAAAATCAAAAAGTAAATCATATATTAATTAATTTAAGATTTTAATAATTTAGGTGACTCTATAATTGTAACTAAAACTTATATAAAGGACATAAATTTTTAATAGATTGTGACATTACATCATTTTTTTATTTTATTGAGATAATAATAGTAATAATAATAATAATAATAATAATAATAATATGAAAACAAACTTAAATAGTTTTTTAAAGTTATTGTTAGAAGAAATTGGAAGAAATGGGTAGGAGTTGGAAAAAACTGGAATGAGTTTGAAAAGAGAAAGAAGTTGAAAGAAACTGAAAAGAGTTAGAAAAACTGAAACGAGTTGGAAAAAACTAGAAGTTGAAAGAAACTGAAAGAAGTTGGAATAGACTGAAAGGAGTTGAAAAATGTTTTAAGTTAAGAAATAATGCACAAAAGAATTGAGTCTTAATGTGGTTCGGACCAAGTATCTTATGACTCAATCTGGTAACCAATATCTCATTCTAAATTATATCATTGTATTTGAGCCACTTTTAGTCCACCCCATGTTAGAGAAGGATTAATTAATAATTTATATTATTTAGTTAATTAAATATTTTAATAGTTTAGCTAGATAGTTTAATTATTTACTTTTTATTGTTGAGTGGAATTATAACACTCCTTCGAGGGTTTCTTTTCGGTTCTTTACCTAGACGCTTTTATTGAACCGACAGGCTTAGGGATTAGGTGTTTGCTAGGGTTAGGGTTTACCATCTTCATCTATATATTGAGTTGTAATCCCCTTTAGAATATCATCAATGAAGAACAATAATATTATCTCTCCTAAACCCTAATCTCTCCCCCTCTCCTCTCTAGCCGCACAACTTTCTTCCTCCTCTACTTTCTCTCATCTTCTCTCAAATCCTTCACTTTCTTTCCCCAATTTCTCAATTTCCCTTCTCTATTTGATACGTTACCGTATCAATTGGTGCTCTCATTCTATTGAACTCCAAAAAGAAGAAAAACAGTGCTATTGTGTTGCCGCACCTGGATCGTCGGGGCTTTAGACGAAGTAGTGCCCCACCGCCACTTTATTTGGCTCTTAGACTGAGTGGATTTGCACAATTGAGGTGGATTGAATTTGCAAATTCAAAAGAAAAAAAAACTCTCACTGCCGCAGTTTTTTCTCAACCGGTGAAGTCTCTACCGGGGCAGCAAGGAATCCAGAATTTTCCGGACAGCAACAGAAAGAAATATTACCAGAGCCCAACAATTGTTGATTTTTTTTACTGATTCATATGGCGGGGAAGTCGTCGGCTGCACCATCACAGTCCGCTGCCTCGTCCCTGAATGATGTTTGGTTAGCTGTTACGGATCTCGCCCTTGAGATTTGCACACTCCGCCAGGAACAAATTGATCTCTCCCGACGGGTTGATGGTGTATTCTCTATTTTGGAAACTCGGGAGACTCTGGGTGATTACAAAAGTGGGTTGTTTTGTTATAAGGTTTTTAAGCCGCGGCAACTGGATCCAGATTTTCCAACATGGTTTTATAGCGTTACAGGTATTCGTCATAATGCTTGGATGTCAAACATTGAACAACCAAAAGAAGAACAATTGCATGAACCCATTGAAGAAATCATATCAGCCGTGACAAAAGTGAAAAATATTGTTGATCCTACAAGTGTTTCTGATGATGTTCCTATTATTGTTTCTAATGACTGTGATAAGGAATTCCAAGGCGACATAAGCATGGAAAACCCGTTTGTGTTGCCCCTTGATGTTTCTCTACCAAAGGCTTTTCCATTGACTAGCATGTTTGAAGGTGTTAGGGATCATGTTTTACTTAAGGGTGGTAGGGGGCTGCATTTTGTTTCTTTCGAGGCACCTTCCCTCATCACATTACTTGGAGTTCTTTGTTTGCCTGGTCAGAATTCGGAGGCTTGGTCCGACGGTGGCCAATTTATTTTGTTCGCTATTGCATCAATTGTTTTGAAGCTTGAATGGGATCCGCCCCCAAACATGGCATGCACAGCGTCATTGCACACTGTTTGTTTTCCTACTTACACCTTGAGGACAAGGTGTGTTTCTATCGGGGCGGCAGTGTTACAGAAGGATTAATTAATAATTTATATTATTGAGTTAATTAGATATTTTAATAGTTTAGCTAGATATTTTAATTATTTACTTTTTATTGTTGAGTGGAATTATAACACTCCTTCGAGGGTTTCTTTTCGGTTCTTTACCTCGACGCTTTTATTGAACCGACAGGCTTAGGGATTAGGTGTTTGCTAGGGTTAGGGTTTACCATCTTCATCTATATATTGAGTTGTAATCCCTTTTAGAATATCATCAATGAAGAACAATAATATTATCTCTCCTAAACCCTAATCTCTCCCCCTCTCCTCTCTAGCCGCACAGCTTTCTTCCTCACCTCCTCTACTTTCTCTCATCTTCTCTCAAATTCTTCACTTTCTTTCCCCAATTTCTTTATTTCCCTTCTCTATTTGATACGTTACCGTATCACCCCATTGCTTAAACTGTCTATCTAGAAGTTCATTCTTAGCAGCTCATTAGTTTTTAGCCTTTGTGTGGCTCATATAATTTAATTATTCATCTCGAAGTCCATATCTAGCGATTCGTGATCATTTAAGTGTTGGCACTTTTGATACCTTTCATTTCTTGTGAAGGAAGAGTCCATTTGTAAGTGGTCAATAGATTACATTCAAAATGATATGATTGACTACTTGAGGGAGAGTGTTAAAGCATCTCACATCAGAAATTGAAGAAAAAAGTAATCAGCATACAAGTTCTTAAGTTGAACTAAGTAATTGATTGGATTCTATCTTTGAATGTAATTCTTTTCAAGTGCCTTATAACACAATGTAGTGATTCTATCCTAAATTCTATTAATTTTCTATGTCAAATCAAAAGATGTACAATATGATACTTTGTATCGGATTTAACTCTACTCAAGGTCGGTCTTGTTATTAATTACTACTCCCTCCGTCCCACAGTATTCGTCCAATATTCCTTTTTTGGCCGTCCCGCAGTATTTGTCCACTTTCCTTAATTGGAAAGAAAAAAACCATTAAAAGTCTATTCTACCCTCATATTAATTAATTTTCTGCAACTTTCCCCATATCTTTTCTACTTTCGATGTCCCTCTCCCTTCATCTCTATCTTCTTCTTCCATTTTCTTCTCCCCTCCCAATCATATTTTTCTTTTTTCAATTTCTTCTCTCCCATCCCAATCCTATTCTTCTTCTTCTTTCGATTTCTTCACCCCCCCCTTCAATCCTAGTCTTCTTCTTTCAATTTCTTCTCTACCCTCCTAATCGTGTTCTTCTCCTCTCGATATCTTCTCTCTCCTCCTCTTTATCATCTTCCTCTTTCTATTTCTTCACTCCACCTCCCAATATTGTCCTTTGATTCTTTCTTTATAATTTCTTCTTCTTCTTCTTTTGATTCTCTCTTATCCTTGCAGTCTTCTTCTCTGATTCATTCCACAGATCCGAGCAACGAGCTCCTCTGACAGATCCGAGCAACAGAGTAATTCAGCGGTCTTCTTCTTTGGTATTTTATCACCTCGTTTGGATATGTTTTTCATAGATCCTGGAAATTAACTTCTTCTTCCACAAATTCGAACATAAGAGTTGTGCTGTAGATGGTGGAAGCTATTTAGCTTTCAAGATTGGATGTGGGGCATGAAGCTTGGGTGCGGCTAGCTAGCTGAGAGGCGTATACACGGTGGAGGAAGGGGATAACAGAGCATTTGAGATATTGGGTAACAAGGGGCAATTGTGTCACTTTACTCCTCTCCTTGGTATTTGTGCCACTTTGAAAGTGGACAAATATAGAGGGACGGAGGGAGTATTATTAAAATTAGATCAAATCATATCAAATTTAGTCAGATACATTTTTTAGGTCAAATTAAATTTTTCACAAAATGTTAAAAAATAATGCTAATATTTTTCCATTATTATATAATACTTATTATATGATTAATTGTAACACCCCAACCCGCATAACCCGAATACTCGGACCAGCGAACCGGGTTGCTACTAATTTGGTAACCAAACACCATTTAATTTTCAAACAATTTAAAACATTTATTTCAAAACAATATTTAATTATCCATCAGAGTATATCAAAATGGTTGCGGAAGTTTAATTCTTAATTCAAAACACAACTTGGGAATCATGCTCGAAATAGTAATAAGTTATTTAAATAATTAATAGGAGTTCAAGGTCATCGAACACCGCCACGCACATCTCAGCCTCCTCATCGCCCTCCGGATTGGCTCCAAGCTCACCATTTCCTGGATTACCTACGTGTAGCAAATATGAAAAAGGGCTACACGCTCAGCATTGAAGCTAAGTGAGAAATATCTAACATACAGCTATACTCATAGATGATCCTACTAGCCCATATCCTCATACAACATGCTCAACATATTCATACATCATACAGAATATAACATACATAATTAATATCATCATTCGAGAGGTACTACTTACAGAATACAATAACAAGCTCTTTCCTCTTTGGTTACCTTACTTCTTTCTGTACTTGGCTCTTAACCTATACTAGGTTAAAGCTTAACTGTATGCGACTTGCCTATGGGAGTCATGACCTTCCCCTTCGGAACGAAAGGCAAGCTCAAACCAACTCGGGAGTTCCTCGTTGGGTGGGTGAGATCCCTGTCCCCTTCGGAACGACAGTTCTTAGATCCCCGAGTACACGTTTTTACCCGGACAGCCATTGGACCCAGCAGGTACCACATTACTCTAACTTACTAATTTATGACACCCTTGCCACTATGTCCATTCAGGTCAGTTCCTAAAGTTCGTTCTAGGTATTTCATTCTTTACTTGTTAACAATTTACAACATACAAGTTCATGCATCATACGACATAACTCATCACATACGACATGCTCAAATAGCGGCCTAACCCTGGGTATTGACACCCATGTTTACCGTCATGCAACACACAAAGTCTCGGAATCGATCCTTGACGTAAACGACAAAATGCAGACCTATTCAGGTACCTCACGGTACCCTTGGCGGTAGGGGCTACCGGCCCCACGGTACCAGGGTACCGTCCCCACGGTACAGGGTACCGACCGTGTCAGCTGGAGTCCCCTCTGGTAAGCTATCACGGTAGCCTCTACCGGTCTGACGGTAGGGCCTACCGCCCATCCGGCACCTGGGTGTCGTCCTATGACAGGTACCGACAGAGAGAGACGAAACCGGGGAGGCTAGCGGTAGCCAGATATCGTGTTAACGGTACCCCCCTACCGTCTATCGCAGCGAACACTAGACTTGCACCAGCTCCATTTTCGTCCATCAAACAACATTAGTTCCAGTAAATACAAGCACAACAGATCATAAACCATCAATCCAACATTATCTAATCATCCCTCAATCATTCTAACCCAAATCATGTTTTTCACCTCCTAAGCTACATAAACAAGGCATAATTCACGTATAGTCTAAATAGATCACCGTAACGATTCTACGAACGTAAGATTCAAACCTACGAATATAACCATACGTTACATGATCATGTACTCACCTTGAATTCAACGATTAAACTACGAGATGGTACCCACGAACAACGGCGTCAGATTCCTCTTCCTTCTTCTTTTCTTCTCTTCCTCTTCTTCTTTTATTCTCTTCCTCTTCTTCTTCTTCTTCTCCTTCCTGCGTTCACCTTCTGCTCTATTCCGTTCGGCGAGAGTGAGACACGAGAGAGAGAGACGTGAGAGAGTGGGGAGGGAGTTACGTAAATATGGTGTGACGTAAGGGTTTGGGACGTGTAGGGTGTGTATTTATATTTTTGGGGTTTTGGGCTCCGTATTAACTGAACGTACCTGGCCCAAACGCACTTTCCGGGCCCACTGACTGCCAATCCAAATCTGATTTCACCGTTAGATTCGATCCGTCGAACCCTACACAACGGTATAATCTTTATTGTCAAACGAAGAGTATATATAATTTCCCACCGAGTCTGTCTCAATAGCTAATTAATTATTTCTAATTAATTAATTCTGATAGGCCGGGTTTCGGGGCGTTACATTAATTAATGTTACATTATTTAATGTGGTATATAATTTATAAATAGTTACAATTATAATATTAAATACATTTAAATAATAATAATGTTACATATGATTAAATAATATTTATTATTATTATTATTATTATTATTATTATCATCATCATCATCATCATTATTAAAGTAATCACAATACTCTATCTGTTTCCAAATTATTATCTTTTTAAACGCGTAAAATTGCACTTCTTTAAAAATAATGTATTTATAAAAAAATTATAGAAATAAAGAGTAGAATTTACATATATAAAAACTAATTCAAGAGTTTTACAAAATAAGTAGTGGCATATCTATTTTATTTTATCAAATAATTAATAAAACAAAAATACAAAAAAATTATGAGAGTTCTGTAATAGTGCACATGATGATATTTTAATGGTGGGGTCCAATAATGTTAATAGTAGTACTATTTCTATCTTATAAAAAAATAATTACTTTGTCTTCACGATAATTAAAAAGTATAAAATGACAAGAATATTGAAAAATAAGTGGTTAATTATTTTAAATGATAGAAAAATATTTTGGATTAGATATATTTTTTGAAAAAAGATAAAGAATGATTTGTTTTTGAAAAAAAAATAACACGAGTATTACATGTACATATTTAACATGATTAGCATGGAGTATACAAAAGTTATCATTTTTGTAAAATAGTATCTATATTTTCCAATGATTGATAATTGTCAATGATTTTTTCCACGTTTTCAATATATTATTCAATTATTTTTTGTTTCATAAAACATATAAATATGTAACAATTATTATGATAAATTTCATAAATGGTTCTTACAGACGGTTTCCTTATTTAGTCCCCAGTTCTAAAATATTATGTAATGGTCTTCAATTTTTGAAAATCATTCTATAACCGGTCATTTAGAGAATGCACGTGGAAATAATATTTTGTCATATTGGGCCCAAAGGACTATTTATGAAATAGTTTCTAAAATTATTTTGTCATCTGCTATTGGTGATCAACAAACTTTCTCATGCAAGTTGTTATCTCCGCCAAAATCTTTTGTACTCCCTTGGTGCGACAGAGGTGAACATGTGCTTTCCCTTGTTGTTTCTACCGGACGGCCAACTTGGTTCTCTGGTGGGAAAGGAGATTCTGTTGGGGGGGGGGGTATGGAGTACGTTTCCACTTCGTCCTTGTCAGAATCATTTAGGTTAATGGGCAATCTTGATGATGAATAACCTAAACCGACATAGTGGAGGACCCATTTTGAAACTTTTCGGAACTTAAAGCTTCAAAACGGGATGTCACTTCGTGAACTAGCGCATGATTTTCCACACGCCAATGCTAGTGAACGGCGCGAACCGATCAACAACGTACTGTATCAATGCATCGTGGGTGACGCCCTCGTCACTTTGCCCACTCTTCCGATTGTTGTTCACTTTGTTCTATTTGCCACTCTACTTGAGAATTTTTGTCTGCACGTATCGCCATTTACCGGAGATCATGTCCCTCGATCGATATTCCCCCTTTCCCATCTTTTTGAAAAAAACAGTTTGATACCGCATCTAAAAATTGAAAGAGGTTTTGTTACGCCCTATGATTGTCATTTTTAAAACAATATGTTATATTAGAAGTAATATAAGATTTAAAATATATTTTTTTAAGATAAAACATAAATATATTTTTTAATAAAATATAAGATTAAATAAAGAACTAAATACAATAAGAGTGAAAAAAATTGTACCGATGACCAGATATTCAAACATGTCGATGTATGCACAGGAAAGGGCTTCTTCCTCCTTGTAAGTCCACCTAGCTTTGGCCGCCTTCACGATCCCCCCCGTTAGCCTTGGTTTGCTAAGACTCGTGTTTTAATGTTAACAAATAATCTAAGAGCTAAACGTTTGTTTAAGTGTTTCATGTACGACTAGAATCTATTAAGATTTGGTTCTCAAGAATGAAGTAGAAACAAATGTAATAATTTGATTTTATATACCTATATTCACAAGCTTAAAAGTACTCGCAAAATATGTTTAAAACCTTCTTATAATCATTTTCAAACATCCAAAAAGTTTAAAAAAAATTGTAAAAGATTTGGCCAAAAACAAAAAACCATCATAGTGGTTAAGGTACCTAGGTACCATATGGGTTACCGTCTGGGGTACCGTGAGTCAGCCTGAGAAGGTATCCCCTAGCGTTAGCCCGGGACCCCATACCAGAACAGGTACCGTAAGAGGACAGCTACTGCTAGAGAGTTTTGGCCTGAGAAGGTACCTAGCTACCGTGATAGGGTACCGTGACCGTTGGGTTGCTGTTCCTAATTGCTGATTTTGAGTCTAAACAATCCTTATCACCTCTCAACGGCTAATTAACATCTTCCACTATATATACAAGCCCAGACCTTCATATTTACAAGAAACAAAGCTTCAAACGTCCTCTCTTTATATTTTAAGTGTGTTCATTCTTTTATTCTTTATTTCCAATATTTTGGCTATTTCAAGAGCATTAATCTCCTGATTTTTATACACACTTTTGAGCTTGTGTTTTAGTGATATACTCTCATATTCATAAGTTTATATTGTATTTTTGAGAGAATATAATTTCGTTATAAACCAGCTAAGTCTTGTTCTTCATTTTTGTATCCAAGCCGTTGTGTAGAACCATTCTTGTGTTCTTCAAACACACCTTACGGTCGAGAATAGCCATTAAATTCTCAAGTTGTAACGGTCGAGGATAGCTGTATAAATCTTTAGGTAAAAAGTTCAAGGATAGCCTTTTGAAGTCCCTAGGGGAACGGTCCAAGATAGTCGTGACATCTTCATTGTAAGCGGTTCAAGATAGCCATTGTAAAATTTCAGAGTGAATCATATTGGCAAGAGTTGTTTGTCGAAACTAGTGCGGTGCTTTGACGGAGTTCAAGAGACCGAGACTTAGTGGATTCGGAAATCCTTAAGGATGAGCCTTAAGGTACTAGAGTAGGGATTTCCAAAATCAGTCTAAAATTTGGTCGTTCTTATTTTACGCTTTTATTTTTGCATTTATTTATTGCTTCTGCATTTACCAACACCAAATTTATTAAACTCTGAAAAGTTTTCAAACGCCTTATTCGCCCCCTCTAAGGCGTGGGCACACCGACTAACACCCCCCTCTGCCTTCTTCTTGTGTGACCTTGAACTCCTACGCGTCATTTCAAGGTCGGCCTCTAGTTAAGGCTGGGGTTGTGATTCGGGTTGCGTCTCATGCATGAAATTCGAATACGGTTCGACGATATTCGTCATCAATTGTGAAAAAATCCCCGTTGTTGTTGGAACCAATTCGCAAACTTCGGAAACACATTGCTCGGTATCATTGGTGTCTTTGGCATATGCATTATCATCCTTGGGTTCAACATGTGTTTGATCCATTTGAGGCCAATATCAACCAAAAACATATTATAATAATGATTGATGGGGTAGTTTGGGTCCATTGGATATAAGAGAGAATAGAATTGAGAAGAAAATTATACTCCCTCCGTCCCAAATTATAATGCATATTCACTATTTACAGAGTCAAACTTCATTCACTTTCTTTCTCTATTTTCGTTAGTAATTTGATAAAATAAAGTACTATTGTCACTACTAGTTTTGTAGATCTTTTGATGTAGTCTTTTAATATGTAATTTTTATTTTTTTAACTCTATACCATTTGTCATATAAAATGATGGGTGAAAATAATTTCAGTCAAACATCGTAAACCGAAACAGGCGTTATAAAATGGGACGGAGGTAGTAATAAATGTTCTTTTGGATTGAATAAGGAAAAATTGAGATTGGTGGGAGACGTGAGTCAGGATGTGAGTATTTAGCAAGAAAACCAAGAAGCAGTAAACCGATGAGGCTCTTCACCCGTGCGAGGTCACGCCTGATTTGGCATGGTGAAGGGGGCGCGGCTGGACGCAAAGGCCGACTCCACATACCACATAGTCTAAGGTCATGTTCTCTCCAACTAATTCTTATTACTTTTTCTTAATGTAATTAGTTTAGATCAGATCAGAAATATCTTTAAATATTATTACATTCAAGTAAGATCAAACGAAGTCAAACTAGATCAAGTCAAAACTTATTTCAATTATATCAGAACCATTCAAATCAGACGATAGAATATAACCTACTCCCTTCCAAAACCGTTGCACCTCAACCCACCCCTAGTCCCCACGAAACAAGTTCGTGAACAGTACAGGACCAGTCCATCTAGGGGGAGCGCTACCAAGTGAGGGGCTGTTTGGCAACTTCTGAATCGGTAAGTGCTGAACCAGTAAGAGGTCTAAATCATTAAGTGCTGAATCAGTAAGAGGTCTGAACCATTAAGAGCTAGTATATTGCTTAACTATTCAGAGGCAAATGTCTGATCAATTCAGATAAAAGGTTTTAACCATTCAGACTCTGTATAATACTTAACCATTTAGAGGCAAATCTCTTAACCATTCAGATATCTGAACCAAAGGAATAATAAGAGGACCATGTTACACTTACACCAACAAATGTACCCCATTTGTACACCACAGGTTTGCACAAACATTTCGATGGTTTACACCGACACAAGTGTTGGTGCGTTAATAAAAATTCACACGGACACAAATGTTGGTGCGTTTAACAAAAATTAGTTTTACACCAACACAAAATGTTGATGCAAAACTGCGGGGTACAAATCTTGGGGTACACATAGCATAATCCCATAATAGGAATAGGAAGAGGCTGAAACAATTTACGGGCCGGGTTATTACGAACAGCCTTTAGGGGTTTTGAGCTTCTTGCAGAGGGGTTTTTCTTCTCGTACTAGAGCTGCCAAAGCCTCCCTTTTCTTGAGAAGCCGCAGTCGTAGGAGAAGAAAATCGGCAATTTCGTCTTCTTCTCCACCGATCCAACTTCATACTGCACACTAGGTCGGATCCTAAACAAGAACCTTAAATGGCCGCCCAAGTCCCGCCTCATACCGGCACTGTTCCGCCGACCGATTCGAATCCGGCGGCCACCAAACCGGAAAAGACGGACTACATGAATCTGCCTTGCCCTATTCCTTATGAAGAAATCCAACGCGAAGCTCTCAGTGAGTGTTTCACAATTCTCTAACTTTGGCATTCGTATCTTGTATTTTCCCCACTATTGAACTTCTTTGGTACAGTAATCTATCTAGATTGCTGGTAGCTTACATAAAAAAGTGTAATTGATGTGAAAACATATATTTTTATTTTGTTTTCAATTTTTTGTATTTTATTTATCAAGACATCTCAATTTCAGTAATGTAATATGCTTGTATTTGATTTACAACCTTATAAGGTATACAAATTAAAAGCCTTTCCTGCATTCTGGGTTGTTGGTAATGGAAAGGTAGAACACACCTTATTTTTTGTTAAATAATACGTAGTACATAGAAGATACTTTACTCCTATAGGACACCCTAATATACTGTAGTATAGTAAGGTGAAGACTGAAGACTGTGATGTGCAGGGTGGTCACTATTTTTTATGGCCACTATTTTGTGGAAAGTAGTTACGCCATTGAAGGCAGAGGCGTGGTGCTAATAAAAAGGTAGAATTTTGATGAAACACTTCAAGGTGGAAACAGCATGCTACCTACAGTATGATGTTACTCTCCTGTTTGATTTGTAGTAGCATATTGATGCCACACTTCACTGATGTTACCATTTTTTGAGCTACTCCCGAGTTAATATGGGATCTGATTTTAATGATGCATTATCACACACATTCTGTTTTGATCCGATTGTTATGGGGGTTAAGCTTCATTCCCTATCTTGCCATTACATTAAGAAGAGTACTTTCAAGTTTCAACATGTAAATACATCTCTTCGAATAGGAAATATAACCCGACTCTTGGTCAAGATCTTTGCACAAAATTGGTCTTAAGCTTAGAATTATGTTTAATTCTCTCTCCATCTTTTCTTAGTTTTGAAACTGTGAGTTTAAACTAATGTTGTGATTCCGTTGGAGAAGCATGTACTCACAAGTTGTGAGTACACACTTCTACAACGGGTTGTGTTATCTTTAGAGGCATTTGTTGTATTGTAAGATTTGTACTACCAACAAAATAAATATTTTCAGGAGTTAGGACAGTGTCTTAGTCATACACATGACATACCTTCCTTTTATGCCTTTTGTTACCAATTACCATACAAGGCTACAACCTAATTTCTATGTCCGCAAGGTCCTATTTTTTTACAATTTAAAAGTATTTAGTAGTCCTTATGGGATCTAGCAAAACAGCATCTCTATTTACAAGTAGAGGCAAGGTTACTGCTTAATGAAATTTAAGGGACTTGCGGACATACAGAGTAGAAATTAAAGTTAAAGTTAAGGGACATTCAGCGAAATGTTAAAGAATTACTCCCTCCGTCCAAAAATAATCTCATCGTTCACTATTCATAGGGTCAAACTTTATTCACTTTGTTGGTCTATTTTCTATGCTTATTTAATAAAGTAATATAGTCATGTCACCTCTGGTTTTAGATCATTTGATCTAGTTTTTAATATGTAATTTTTATTTTTTAATTCCACATCATTTTGTATATAAAATGATTGAAAATAACTTCAGTCAAACATCGTAACATGCTATGAAAAGATAATTGTTGGACGGAGGGAGTAAAATTTAAACAGCGTTAGTCTGAATTCTTCTCCCTTTGCCTTGCAAGAATGCTAGTAATCCAATTAGAACCCTACCATATTGGCAAGTTACTAAATGGCTAAAGTACAAGCTATATTCTAAGACATTAAGGTGAAAAGTGTTGTGCAACAAGGCAATCACGATTTTCTGAATTAGAAAGGTTGCTACCTGATTGAAGAACAGTCGGGTAGCTAAGCTTTCTACGATCAGAAAGGTCAACCTTTTGTTATAAGGTAGCAAGGTGGAAACAATATGCTACCTACAGAATGGTCTTACTCTTGCGGGTACTGGGTAATCAGTATGCTTTATGGTAGTAGCAATGTAGCATGCTGGTGACTCTTCTGTACTTACACTTTGTTGATATACCATTGTAGTTATTGTCGAGTCATAGCGTAATCTGATATTGATGATGCATTCTCACACATTCAGTTATAAACCGACTCTTATGCAGATTAAATCTCCATTAATTGTTTGGTCATTATACTAAGGATAGATCATTTTTCACTTATAAATGCATATCTTCCAGTGAAATATAAATAATTACTGTTAACAGTGATCTTTGTGCAATCTTTGAAGAAATTTGTAAGTTATTTCCAGTTTTCTTCATCTTTTCTTAGTGTCGAAATTGTGAATTCCAACTATAGTGTAGGACTTGTGCTATCACAACACAAATATTCTTTGAGTATTGCCTTACACACGACACACCCTCCTATTTTTCTACAATCTTTTGTTACTCTACGACCCATATTCTACATCCGAAAATTTCAATAGTCCTACATGAGCTAGAAGTGTCATCATGTACAAAAAGAGATCATGAGTGTTCCGATAGGAAAGTGGAACTGAATAAGAAAAGGAAGGATAAAATATACTCCGCATTATAATATCAACAATGGAGAATCTCCAATTGAAAACAATAATATTTATCAATGATGAAAAATACTAGAGATAGATCAGACTATTTATAGACTGATTCTGATTACAACTAAAAAGAAAGAAAGGTGAAAATCCCTTAAAACTAGAGATTAGAACAGACCTTATCCTAACCCTATAGATCCTAAAAATCCGCAACAAAATGGAATAGTATCCTAAAATAATAAAATATCTCAACAATTAATAAATATCCTGTGCCTCCTTACCTATACTTCTTGAACCTCGGATTTAAATTGCACAACCCAAAAGATATGGTTTAGTTGTCCTCCCTTTTGGCATCTTTAAAGTTATAATACTCCTCTGTCCCATTAAATTCTTGACACTTTGAATTCAAGGAGTTTAAGGAAGTTGTTGAAAAGTAAAAAATGTATCGTTAGACTTTGTTTAGAGGAGAGAATTATTGTTAGCCATATATTCATTACCAAAACAGGGAATAAAGTAAGTGTAAGGGTTTTTGGGACATCCAAAAGGGGAAAGGGTAAAGAAGTTTATTGCACACAGGGAGTATTTTTTAAATATTTCTGAGTCGTAATTCTGTAAATAGTTGTAATTGGGATTGATAGGATATCCAAAGGCATTAAATTATACTTTTTTCTTGATTAGTATACCAATGCTGAAGGTGGTCTGTCTTCTTCGGAATAATGTAAAGTTGCTCAAAAGTTTAGGCCATGCATTTCTTTTCTTTACACTACTTAGTCACACCATGAAGGTTTTGGAACAAATTATTCAGACCTAGTTGAAAAAGGAGGTGAGCATTTCCAAGGATCCATTTGGTTTCATGCCGGGCCGGTCATGCACTGGGGCCATTCACCTCTTGAGGAGACTGGTTGACCAGTATAGGGACAAAAAAGGATTTTGAAATGGTGTTTATCGACTTAGAAGATATGGTTTCTAGAGAGATCTTATGGAGGTGCCTAGAGAACAAAGAGGAACCAATTGCTTATATTTGGGCTGTTAAGGACATGTATGGCGGGGTGTGGACCTTGGTGACGTCGTTAGGTGGTGACTCCAACCATTTCCAAATGGAGATGATGTTACAACTGGGATCTGTCCTTAGCCCTTTCATATTTTCTTTGGTGATGAATTTTCTGACATGGCATATTTAGGTGGAGGTACCTTAGTGTATGTTGTTTGGCGAAGACATTGTTCTCATTGACGAGGCATGAGAGAGACCCAATGCTAGGCTAAATGTGTGGAGACAAACCTTGGAACCCAAGGGTTTCCGATTGAGTTGGACTAAAGAGTGAGTACATGGAGTGATGCTTCAGTGGTAGGATGAGTGTCTCAGAAGTGGAAGTTAGGATTGCTTTGGATTCAGTGCCTAAAAGGGACAAGTTTCAGTATATGAGGTAGATGGGGATGTTGTGCATCACATCTGTGACACTTGGGAAAAGTGGAAACTTGCTTCGGGTGTCCTTTGTGACAAGAGGATATCAGCGAACATGAATGAGAAGTTTTGTCGGGCAGTTGTTAAATCAACTATGTTGTATGGAGCAGAGTGCTGGCTGGTGAGGGATGCTCATGTTCGGATGATAGAGTTGCAGGGATAAGGATGCTGAGGTGGGTGTGAAGTTATACAAGGATTGATGTGACCTAGAACATAGATATTTAGGGGAAGGGTGGTATGTCATCTGTAAAGGATAAACTGTGGGATGCGGGAAGCTTGGCTGAGATGGTTTGAACGCATATGAATGAGAAGTACGGATGGCCGGTGAGAAGGTGCTTGAGGCTTGAGGTAGGGGGTGAGTAGAGGTTTTGGTAGACCTAAGAAGAGATGGAAAAAGATGATTAAACATGTTACAACTTCAGGGTGTTACTGAGGATATCACCTTATATAGGAGCGTCTGGAGGTCTAGGATTAGGGTGGTTTTTGCCTAAGTTTGAAGTTTTTGCTTGTGTGCTATTGTGCCTTTGTAGTTTCTGCTTGTATGCTGGTTTTGTTTGTGTGATTTCTTTGTTCATGCTACTTTTCTTTGTTTTGCTTCTGTGTCTTAAGCCGGGGTCTCTTGGAAACAACCTCTCTACTTTCTAGGTAGGGGTATGGTCTAGTTACTGATGCCCTCCCCAAACCCCACTCTGGAATTTTTACTGGGCGTGTTGTTTTATATCTTCAAGATCCAACACTGATTTTATTTCTTCTTTGTTGCTTTGGCAGTGTCGTTGAAGCCAGAACTTTTTGAAGGAATGCGCTTTGACTTTACCAAAGCACTGAACCAGAGATTTTCTCTCAGTCATAGGTATCTTTATGGAACATGTTGGTTTTAAGGCTAACTTTATTTTCTTTAGTTGAAGGAACACTGCAACAATGTTTTCAATTTTGATATTCTCACGTTTGCTTTTTTTTCTTTCATCAGCGTATTCATGGGACCCACAGAAGTTCCTTCTCAGTCCACTGAAACAATTAAAATACCAACTGCTCATTATGAGTTTGGTGCAAATTTTATAGACCCACAGGTATATAGATGGAAAATTATTCTCATGAATGCCTGAAGTTCTCTCAATGGAACCTTATTTTTCCCTTGTGGACATAATATCTGCTTGTTACAGATGATGCTTTTTGGGCGGTTGATGACAGATGGGAGGCTAAATGCTAGGCTAAAGTGTGATTTGTCTGAAAATCTTTCTCTGAAAGGAAATGCTCAAGTAAATATATAATATATAGTCGGATACTCAAATCTAATAATTTATATATTGATGAATGCCATTGCCACAGTTATATCTGATAATAATCTCCCATATTCCAATTCTCCTTGCCAGCTTACATCTGAGCAACACATGTCACATGGGATGGTCAATTTTGATTACAAGGTGATCTTTTCTAGATTTTGATTCTTTTATGCGTTTAGTTTTTAGTATGCTTCTTTTATCATGATACTGTGACGAATTTGTCACCTGGATTTGTTATGGGTCATCTTAATAAAAGAAGAAAATCATTAGGCCAAATCTAGGGGATAAGGTGGTTTTGAGTTTGTCTTTCTTGTTTACACAGGGAAAAGACTACAGGACTCAATTTCAACTTGGCAGTGGTGCATTGCTGGGAGCCAGTTACATCCAGGTAATTAATCGGCATTCACATAATGTTTATGGAAGTGTAAAAGAAACTGATAGTGCTCATCATCCCTGAAATTGTAAAGCTTCTTTAGACGAGGTTAGAATTATGCATTTAGTTTTGAACCTCTGAAATCCTCAAACTGATTGTTGCCATGATACCTTTTGTAATACAGTATTTTTCATTCTCGCAAACTACTTGTGGTGGGTTGTCTACTGTTTTTCTCAGCCTTGAGCATCTTCTTTAATGACCCATTCGTAATGATGCACTTCTTTGGTTCTTTTAATATTCTTTGGCAGAGTGTTACTCCTCATTTATCGCTGGGCGGTGAAGTATTCTGGGCTGGCCAGCATCGTAAATCTGGCATTGGCTATGTTGGCCGGTACAACACAGACAAGATGGTATTGTAATTTTATTTTGAAGTAACGAGTTCAATTGTAACTATATGTCACAATTTGTTGGTTTAGCCATTAATGTTAAGATGGTATTCTGTACCAAATTGCCAATTTATTCATATGTTTTACCAAGTAGGCTAATATTGTTAGCCACTCTACATACAGGTTGCCGCAGGTCAAGTTGCTAGCACAGGAATAGTTGCACTCAGCTATGTTCAGAAAGTTTCTGAGAAGGCAAATTTTGTACTCTTTTACAGATGTGTGTTTTGCTAGTCTTGTGTGTTCCTAAAACTGTTTCTTCTTTTCAGGTTTCTTTAGCATCAGACTTCATGTACAACTACTTATCAAGAGATGTTACAGCCAGCTTTGGTTATGATTACATTCTTAGACAGGTAATGCTTCTGATGTCACTACATTTACACATGCATACTCCCACATACAAAGAGGAAGTAAGGTTTACAGTTAGAGCCTTAAGAATAATGAGGTCTGAAATTTAGAACCCTTCCAATTATATATTTGCCTAGACCACGACTACCCTGAAAAGTCTTTAAGCAGGATAATGTCCCTTATTATTCTCAATTAGTTCCTTGAGCTGAAAGTGCAGGGCTTGAAATAACATTGAGTAAAAAATAATTCTTGTTAAGAATGAGAGTTATTCTTAAACATGAATGTTTCTATCATGTTTTTTTGTACTAATGCTTCATTAGGACGTTAATAACGTTATGAAGTGACAAGCCTATTTTTTTGGGATAAAATACAGAATGTAACAAGAAATACTCCCTCCGTCTCACTATTTTTGTCCATTTTTTTCCTTTTTGCCCCTTTTTATTTTTTTTGTCAGTCCACTTTTTTTTTTCTCATACCATATTTGGTCATATTTGTTGGTTCACGTTCATTCTTACTGTGTCTTATTTTTAACATAAATATCAACCATGCAGTCATATTTTTATTAAATTTCCATGCATTAGGTTCCAAAAATAGTGGGACAGGAGTCCAATACTTGAATGGATTGTTGGTTACTTTTTGTCAAGTTAGAATATATGGATTCTACATTAGCTATGAAGTAACAAACTTTCAATCTTGACTCTAGAATCTCTAGAGAAAATTATACTCCCTACGTCCCTAAATAATCTTCCATTTAATAATGTTCTCTTTCTTTATCTATTTTCATTGATCATATGATAAAATAAAATAATCATGTCACAATTATTTTGTATAAAATCTTGAAGTAGTTTTTAAATGTATAAAATTTAGTTTTTTTTAATTTACACCAATATTTATACAAGTTGAAATGGTTGAATTGAAAAGAACTTCGACCAAACATCGTAATCCGAAAGAGGAAGAATATTTAGGGACGAAGGGAGTAACACCTTCAGACAAACTTTTCGTCTCGATTGAGATGGTTTGCGCCCGTGTTGAGTACAAATGCTCGGGTGAGCAGGTGTGAGAGGCTGGAGGTAGGGGACGTTAAGAAAGGGAGAGGTAGTTTGCCGAGTATATGGTCTTAGATAAGAACAGATAAGAACATCTGGAGGATGTCTAGGACTAGGGTGCTAGGGTAGGCTTTGGGTAGTCCTTTATCCTTGTGTAGGACTGGATGTCTTAATATTGCTTTTGTTGTGCTCTTGTCCTTTGTCTTTTATTTTTCCCCCCCTTTACCTGTGATCCTTTTGTTTTGAGTCGGAGTATCTTGGAAACAGCCTCTCTACTTCCCAAGAAGGGTAAGCTCTGCGTACACCCACACTTCACGGACTCCACCTTGTAGGGTTTTACTGGGTTGTTGTTGGGCTACTGAAATATATAATGGGTTTTTTTTTAAATTACAGTGTCGTCTTAGAGGGAAAATTGATTCCAATGGCTGTATCACTTCTTTCTTAGAAGAGCGGTTGAACATGGGACTTAATTTCATTCTCTCTGCAGAGGTAATCTTCGCGTGCCTTCTCATTGTCATCATTATTATTATATATGATCAATAACCATCAGGATCTATAATGGCAAATGAAAGTATGAATGATTATATGATTTATACCTTTTCCTTTCCCATGGAAACATTTTCTGGCCGGCTATATGTATCTCGCGGAACAACCAGCATTCTTATTCATATTCTTATTCTTATTCCATGACTTTGTCTTGCAGGTTGATCACAAGAAGAAAGACTATAAGTTTGGGTTTGGGATAACGGTTGGAGAATAATCGAACGCAAACCCTTCTTCTAGAGCCGCGTTTTGGTATGATTTATTTTTGCTATTTACCCGCATTGAAATGTAGGCGACGACGGTTTCGTGAACTTCTATAGAGTAAGTGGTCACAATTGATGATTTTGCAGTTTGCTGTAATTGATTTCTTTCTTATGCTGGAATGATGATATGGCAAATTTGTAGGGCGTGGAGATCAATTTTTTTTTTCTTTTCAAAATGAGGTCACGATTTCTTTGTCATAAAATGATAATTGGTGTGTTTTCATTTGATTAGGCTTTTTTTTGGACTTCTGTCAGATGACTTCAATAAAAGGCATTTGCATCCAAATGTTTTTCGGAATTTTTTGTTTATTTGTTTTGTTTCGAAGATTAGCATGGCTTTGATGTAAATTTACTCTAGCCGTAAGGTCAGCATACACACACCTTCTTTAGGCTTTACTTTTGCGGGATTGAATTGGGTTGTTATTATACATTAATGCTCTATTTTGATTAAGGTGAAACAAGATAAATGATTTGATTCGTTTTCTTTACACTATGTTTGATTTAAGAATTTTGAATGTGAAAAGAAAAGAAAATAAGAGGAAAATATTTTTAAAAAAAAAAAGAGAAGTAGAAAAAAGAAAGTTAGAAGGTAGAACACAGTGTTACGGATATATTATTTCTGCCTAAATGTAAACAACATTATATAATTTAAATTGGGATGTATGGAGTATTTAATTGTGTTAAATTAAAATATTATTTGCTATTTAATTTATAACCAAACTTTTTTCAAATTTGATTGGAAAAACAAGGCTGGAGAAATTCATGAGAGGATAGAGGAAGTTTAATTAACCTAAAGGAAGATATGGGTTTAGTGGCTCCTAGTTGTATGAGAAAGGATATGGTATAGCAGGCTCTACCTATAGATATGTACATTCAGGTAAAATTCATTCTGAAGTAAAGTAGTACTCATTCTCACACAAACATAACTGTTTATTTTGAAATAGCGTGACACTCATTCTGAAATAATGTAGTACTCATTCTGAAATAACGTAGTACTCATTTTCACACATTTGTCTAATACAACTATAATATTTATCTATTAAAAACATAGTGTTCATTTTGAAACAAAATAATATTTATTCTCAAATAACTTAGTGTTCATTCTCAAGCAAAATAAAATTCATATCATAAATAACTTTCCTTCTCTCCTACCTGACCCGACCACACGACTGTAGGGTTTTTCATCCTCGCGCCTCTCCTCTGATCAAGAGCAGCTTTCTTCCTCGATCGATGAAGCACCTCTCCTTCCTCGATCGACAGCAGCTTTCTTTTGTCGTCGTCGTCTGTGCGCCTCTCCTTCGTCGGTATTCAATCGAACTAATTTACAGAGCACCCCTTCGATTTCGTCGACGCAACTCTTCTTCCTCTTTCGTTTTACCGGATATACCTAATTTTGGGTACAGCCGGTTGTATAATATAATTTGCGCTAGTTTTATGGGTCCAAATGGACTTTAAAACCTTGATCTTCTCCCAAAGAAATTACAATCTAGATTTCCCTCCCACCACTCGAACCCTCAACCTCTTACCATATGTTCCTAGTTTTTGCCGCGAAGCTACCCCTCGGGGGTAGGTGAACCATTTTCTAAGTCTCAGAGTTGAGGACTTGAGGTGAATGGATCATCTTAAAAAATATTCTAAAATATCTACTTAAATGAATATACCTTTTCAAGAACTAAGTAATTTTAAAGCTTAAAGGTGAACTCGGTGTAGAATATCAATTGTTGATATTAAAGATAGTTATTCTCGTAAAAAAATGGTGCATTATTTAACTATTTATGTGCTCGCATTTTTTTGTACTAGGCATTTATGCGGTTGGAACAATGTAATGCTTCGTATCACACATAAAAAATGCTAAAAATCTATGACTTATGACAATCATTTATGAATTTGTACACACAAGGCGATTATCACTGGTGTATAAAAATTTACATTGTTTTGAACTAGAAAGTTTCTAATGTTGTCCTCGTTCCACTACCAATTCCGACGAAAGCTCTGAGTTTCTTTTTTTTGTACTCCTAATTTTTATTAGATTATATTTCATCACATTATATATAAATGTGATTACACTTTAATTATTCCGCGTTTGTGAACACATACACCAAAGCAACAAACTAGAGACAATATTGTGCTATGTGCAATATTGGAGTACCACGAAAGAATTTACCGTAAAAAAATATTACACAATGTTTTTAGTTTCTTTAGCATTTCGAATTTGATTTCAAAAAAGTTTTACATAATGTTTGCTTCAAAGAATTTAGGAGGAAAAAAAAAGAAAATATTTTTCTCATTTTCCTCAACAAACAGAAAAATTATTTGTCATCTCATTTTTTTCTTTCAAAATTCTTGAACCAAACATAGCATTAAAAATGGCAAAATTATAACAAAGAGGAAAACCCAAATTCTTTTTATTTTTTTTGTGAGGAAAATGAAAGAAAATCATTTTTTCTTTTCTTTCTAAATTTCTTGAACCAAACATAGTGTTAATTATACCAAACAAAAAACTTAGAATTGAATTAAAACTCAACTCCATATAACTTTAATTCTAATTCCGTATACCAAACAGAGCCTAAAAAATGTCAATTAAATGTCAAAGAGTGATCATAATTTCTTTAGAAGGGAAGTATCTTGATCATATATCCTTCTCCAAAAAGAGGAAGAGAAAACGAAAAATATTTAGGACAAATCAAAAGGCAAAATGAGAAAACTTTTGAAGGATAATGAAAGCATATTAACTGTTCTTAAACCATGCACTGAACCTCCCTCAACATGCCTCATTCAATCATGTATTTAACTATAAAAAAACCATATTCACCTTTCTTTTAAACTATCAAATGTAAGAATAAGAACACTTAAAATAAAAAACCTCACCCTCCAATGGAAATCCCCCAGCCAAACAATGGCAAGGAGGCTACCGCAGCGAAGGTCTCTTAGGTGCAAAATCCCAATTATAACTTTTTCAGACAATCTAACGGAAATAATAAGAACATCAGCATAGCTTTAAGCGAATCCCGCGGATAATTAACAAAAAGTCGATGGTGATGATGATGATCAAAGTAATAGTAATAATAACAGAGTGCAGCAAAGAAGATTCCTTGGTGAGGTCCAAAGTTAAGCCATGTCAGTGTTTACACTTACTTGTTCGACGCCTACTAGGATTTGCTAGCTTTTTGTTTGGCCTTCTCTATAAGAGGCCTCAATTGCTTCTTTTCAGCAAGAATCTTGAGAAAGTTGAACAAGAAGGGTATGTAGTTGTGCTTTCTGCGAATGTTTTCTGTTTTCCATGTCTTGAACTTCTCTTCCTCCACCAGTATCTTCTCAGTAGCCATTTCGATGCCAGAGTTCACTTCTGTTAATGTTTTATTCAGAGCTTCCACATTGCTGCTGCTATCCGCAGTAAGCCTCTCAGATTGCAAAGCTGCCAGTTGCTGAAGAATGCGCTCTCTCTTCCTCTGAAGCTCCTTCAGCTCTGCTGTGTACATTTCTTTCCTGTTCTTTATTATGGCCATCAGATTGAACCTTATTTCGTTCCTCGAATACCTCTCTATCCTTTCCTGAATCACTGGCTGCACCAAACGCAACCATTCCAAATCCTCATTGGGCCCGCTAGGGCATGGGCCAAGGCTGATGGGCCCTTCTTTCAGCCCATCAAGCTCGTACAGTATCCCATCGACTGGTATGTAACTGATGAAATGATAAACATCGTCATCTTTCCCAGCAGCTCTCTGTTCCTCAGCAACAAAAGGTTCTGGTCTTGCAAAACTGTTGTGGGCAGCTCGGATCGAATCGCTGTTATTGATGGCTAAACCTTTAAGCTCCGGCGGGAAGTTCTTGGTGAACTCCTTCAACTGAGACAGTTCTGGGCCAATGTCAATGTCTGGGCTGTTCAAAAGGATTGACAGAATTGCTTGGGTAGCGCAGGCATTATTGATAACCTGTTTGTATTGAAAAATAATCACTGCTCCGTATTATTTTACCATTAATAAAAGTTAAGATGTGTATGAATGCATTTACTAAACAAACCTGGCTAGCAAAAAACAAGTTGGGGTTGGGATCCTTAATCACAAGACGGTTATCTTTCTCATCTGGGCGCCATTTGAAAAGAAATATTAACCCATAGATTGGCCTGTTTAACAGGAATATATTTGTAATTCAGATGAAAATGTCATCAAATCGTGCAAGTAACAGCACGGTGCAAACATGAAAAAGAATATTTATTGCCAAATCTGAGAAATGTGCAAGGTCGTTGAGAATATCAATTGCCAATATCTCAGAAATGTTCAAACATGAAAAAGAATGTCTATTGCCAATATCTATTGCAATATCTCATGAACAAGCACAACCTTGCCACATTAGTTCACTCACCTAAGGTCGTTGAGAGCATCAAGGTCCAATGTATACAACTCCTCAACCTGTTGAGGGACACAAATGTGTAAGGATAAATGTCGAATGTAATTTGTCAACACTCAAGGATTCCAAAGACACGGGTATAAAGTATAAACCAAGCCAAACAAAGCCCATGAATCTCACTAAGAGTAGGGTTCTGTGGGGTGTGTGGATGCAGATCTCACCTCTTACCTAAAGAATAGAAAAGCTGTTCCGAAGAGGAATTCCAAACACGGGTATGAGATACATAAATATGTATGACCCCTTTAGTATTAACACACTCACACAGTACATAAAAGAATGTAGGTCCAGTCAAGTGTCCAATCATAAGACATTCCATAAACTTTATTTACTGTGAACAGTTTCCAATCGAACTCTCAAGGAATCAAGTATTGAATGATAATAGAAGGTAACAAAAGCCTGTAAACTGTGTTGATGTATTTCGGGGTTGAGATGTTCACAACATTACCCCTATAACATGAGAAAGATTGAATAGTATTATGACAAGCAGCAAAGAGAGAAAAAAGGGTAACCTGCACTCCTTTGACTTGCATCTGCTGTATTAGCTCAGTGAAAACCCCTGAAATGCAAGAAAACACATGGCAAAGGATACCTTAGTATTCAAATACTGCAGCTCCAAAGCAAAATGAAAGCATGGAACATCATTGAGTACAAAAATTCATTTTTAAGGAAACACAAAGTTAAAACATTCTGTTAACGGAAAAGCATCACCATTCAAAACTAATGCACCCTTAAACAAACTTCAGAGTTTGTGTCAGTAAAAAGTAAAAACATACCAGGATCAGATTCGATAGTACACCACGACATGATGAGCTTTATTGGTTAACTATTTTATAGTTTGCTTCAGGTACCGTTACGTAGTTGTACTTGGCTAACCTGCTTGTTAGTAGAATAATCAGCTGAACAATACGAATAAGCAGAACTAGCAAAAGGTGCCATAATTGGCCAAATCTGCTTG